TACCTACTGGGTTGCATCTTGGGAAACTTAACACATTTTTCCAGCCTGTGGAAAAATGTTGGATTCTAATTCTGTGTCCCTGGCATGGAGGGCCGTGTCTAGTGTGGGGATTGCCACTCAGAGCCTGAGCCACATCGTGCAGTCTAAGTCTCAGCTCATCGCTCACTGGTGGGGGGGGGGGGCTTGGGCAAGTTACTTAGCCTTTATAAGCCGTGGTTTCCTCATCTGTGAAATGGAGGTGATTAATACTAACACTCCCCTACTTGGAGGACGTTGAGTTAGAAGACTTTAGTGAGATCATTAATACAAAATGCCTATTATTAGCACAGGGCCTGGGAGCAAGCACACCTTAGCTGCCGTTCTCGTGGTGATCATTCACGGCTCCTTCACTTCCTCATTATTTTTAAAATGCTGTTTCTCACCCAGAACCCTCCTGGCCTCCTCCTCATCTTATAGGTGCCCTCAGCCTGAGACACGCTTCCTCTGGTCTCATCTGTCCACACTCAAAGCCTCTGCAGCAGCTTTGATGCTCTCCTTCTGCTGTGTCCCCTGGGAGCTCCTTTTGGCAAATGTCATTGAAATTCACTTTAGAGGTGCCTGGGGGGCTCGGTCGGTTAAGCATCCGACTCTTGATTTGGGCTCAGGTCATGATCTCAGCGTCATGGGATCGAGTCCTGCATCGGGCTTCCGCACTCAGCACGGAGTCTGTGTCCCTCTCCCTCTGCTCCTCCCCCCACCCCCGCTCGCCATCTCTCTCTCTCTCTCTCTCTCTCTTAAAAGAGTAAATATCTTAAAAAGAAAAAAGAAATTCACTCTAGGGCCCACCTTCTATTGGGCTCTTTACATTATAATTTCTGGCATTTTGGCTGAGACTTTACTCCTTCATTTCTCTGTTGTCACTAGCTTCCTCCTGCACGCTCCATCCTCTTCTGCTCTGGCCTTCACACCCCTGCTGGCCCTTCCCACCCGCTCAGAGCTCAGAAGCCCACTGGCCTTCCGCACCCAGCGCCACCTCCCTCTCTGGCTCCATCCCTGTCCCTCCCTGGCCTCCATGCTGCCCTCCAGCCACACAGCCTGCCTGCTCCAGGCCTTTCCTCCTTGTGCCCGGTGGCCTGTCCTCTGTGACCCTGACCTAGACCCAATCCCCTAGACTGCCAGTTCCTCCACAGCCCAGAGCTGTCACGGAGGTTCAGGGCTGGGCTCGAGGATTCAGCCAACCAAGGTCGGAACCCAGTAGTATGACCTTGGGCCAGTTGCTTGGTCTTCCTGTGGAAGAATCACAGATGCCCCTGAGTTTGAATGAGCTGTAAATGAGAGACGTAGGTAAATTGCAGGGATAATTACAGCACCTGGGAGAGGTCACCACCTTCTTCCTCTAAGAGGTCTTCCCAGAGCAGTGTCGTAGTTTCCAGGGGTTTCCCCCTCCTGTCAACGTCTAGAGCACAGAACGTTTTCAGGTTTCAGCCAACACGCAATCACATACAGGACCTAGAGCTCCAGGCTCATGGTATATTATTTTATGTTGTTGAAGGGAATTTTAAGGTGTTGGGTTTTCTTATTTTTGCGAGCAAGACTCATAATGACCGCAAGCTTGGGCAAGGGGTCATCAGTCAGTGTAAAGAAATATTTGTGGAATGAATCTAAACCCCGGCCATCAGGTGTCCCCCCTTGAGGCCCTGGTGTGGTTTCTAGCATGTCTGGCGAACACGGGTTTCTCCTCTTCCGTGCAGCCCATACTCCTGACTGCCTCTACCCAATCCCCTAGACCTTGACCGCATCCAGTTGAGCACCTTACCATGTCTGGGTCTGTTGTTGTCATTTTACATATCTATGCCCCTTATAATTCCATACGGAACACAGGCGGCCTCTTAGGGCCCAGTAAATGGTGTGGCTTTGGCCAGAGGTCCATCTGTAGCCAGGATCCTGTCACTGTCCTGGAGCCAGGGGAGAAACATAGCTTAAACCGTGTTAACCCACCTGAGTGAGTTAAGGGGAAACAAGAGGGGCCTGGGATGGGCCTGGAAGCAGACGCTGAGAAATGAGGTCCAAGCAAGGACTAGTTAAGAGGAAGCTGGTGCTGGGACACCAGTACCACTGTGTTGGGAAATTGGAGGGGAATAAGCTTTTTCCTTCTTTCTTGCAGAATCTCGCATATGAGATTCCTCCTTGACTGGCCTTAGTTCTGATGGGAAAGGACCCAGTATTTGCCTCCGGAGGCTGCCGTGACAAATCAGCACAAATGGGGTAGCTTAAAAGAACAGAAGTTTGTTCTCCCCGTTCTAGAGGCTAGAAGTCCAACATCAAGGTGTCAGCAGGCCTGTCCTCCCTCTGAAGGCTCTAGGGAAGAATCCTTCTTTGCCTCTTCCTAAGCTTTTGATGGTCATTGGCCATCCTTGGCATTCCTTGGTTTATAGGTGATTCACTCTAATCTCTGCCTCTGTCTTCACATGTCTGTCTTCTTCCCGTGTGTCTGTGTGTCCCTTTGTCTTCATGTGGCCTTCTTCTAAGGTAGCAGTCATACTGGATTTAGGACCCAGCCTAGTCCATTATGACCTCATCTTAACTAATTACATCTTCGAAGACCCTATTTCCAAATAAGATCACATAGGTAGATACTGGAGGATTTGGACGCGAACACATCTTTTTTGGGGAGACACATTTCAACCCGCAACAGAGCTTAATGCTGTCGAAAAAAGTTGAGTCTGTGGAGAGGAAAAAATTACATGGAAAAGCGGACTTCAGGAATACAGCCCAAAGTTACATAAACCAGATGTGAAAGAACATATCCTGGTAAAGCCTAGAAATAACCTATTTTGTACAATGTGTACATAAACGTGTATGTAGGTATGTTTTCCACATAAAGACTTAAATGTGAAAGAACTAACAATGAAGCACGTAGAGGACAATGTAGGAGTCTACCAGCATAATCCAGGGACGGGAGAAGCAATCCAAGGCAGGTGAGCATACTTAACTACATAAGGCAGTTGGTCAACTGTGAGAGCATGTAAGGAAATACTCAGAACTCACTAGCAGTCCGGGAAATACAAAATAAAGTCACAGTGAAACGTCACCATACCCGTAAGACCAGCAAAAAATGGTGGTGGGGATGCTTTTGTACATGGTCAGTGGAAACATGAACGGTTTCAGAAAGCAAGATGGCGACCTTGTTGGGATCCTGATGAGAACAAGGGCAAGAGAGTTTTTCTGTTTTGACACAAGAGGGAAATGTGTTCACTAACTAGCCATTTGATGATGTTAAAGAAGTGTCCTTAAAATTTTAGGTGTGATAATAGTGTTATGGTTAATTTGTAAATAGTCCTTTTTTTCTTCTTCTAAGGAGGCTCATCCTGAACTATTTATTAGTAAAATGATGTAATGCCTGGGATTTTACTTCATATAATCCGGGGAGCAAGGGGGTCAAGTGGCTGATGGTAGAAAGCAAGGGTCGGCACGCTTACAGGCACGGACCAAATCCAGACTGCCGCCTGGTTTTGTATATAAAGTTTTATTGGAACACAGCCATGCTCATTCTGTTACATATTTGTTTAGTATGTGTGAGGCTCCTTTTGTGCTCCAGCTTCTGCAGAGTGGAGGACTTGCAGCGGAGAACCATGTAGCCTGCAAACCCTAAAACATCTACTAACTGGCCCTTTACAGAAAACGTTGGCGAATCCTTGTCCGTAAGGAAGCCAGTTTGGCTGCACGTTCATAAAGGCTGACGCTGGGGGCTGTGTGTGCCGATTAGATTAGTCTTCATGTTTGTCTGTGTTTGGATCTTTCCATAATGAGAAGTTTAAAAAAAAACAAAACAAAACAACATGCTTTGACCCAGTGTATCGCACTCCTAGGAATCTACCTGTTGGAAATGAAGGCATCGATTAATAAGGATACATGTATAAGCATGTTGACTAAAATGGTTAAAAAAGAAAAAAAAAGGCAACACTGATTGCCTACCAGTATGGGAATGCTTGTATAAATCACACCACCCCACACCATGCAGTAGTGTGCTGTCTCTTTAAAGAATGGGCTAGGAGGAAAAAAAAAAAAGAATGGGCTAGAATTTTGCCATCCCGCTTGGAGAATTTTTCATGAGATATTTTCAAGTGAGAAAGGCAGGATGTAGAAAAGTCTGTACTTGGCGATCCCATTTCTGTAGAACAGTGGCACAATTAACCCCTTTGGTGGGTAGAGGGGTGTGTGTGTGTGTGTGTGTGTGTGTGTGATGCATACCACATTAATGTGGCTCAAGGTGAATACCATCTACAGAAGAGGAGCACGGCAAAGCAGGAAAAGGAAAATACCTATATTTAAACAGACTACGTGATACGATCCCGTGTGTGTGTTTGTGTTAAGTTATATTCGTGTGTACACGCGGCTGGCTACATTCCGAAGAGAGGTATGATTTTTAACACAACTGGAAAGGAGTGAACATTTTTAATGCGCTTTAAGTAAGGGAATAAAGGAGAATTTGGTTAGAGTTGAAAGATACCCAGGAGCGGGGAAAACGAGAGATGAGAGTGACCCCTGCAGACCCGGGCCAGCTAGGGAAGTCTCCATGGAAGGTTCTAGCGGTGAGAGAGGGGCGGCTGGATGGCCTTTGGGCCACAGCCGCTCCCTGATCTCAGCGCCTCTTCCTCCTGCTCCCGGAGAAATAATGTTTCCCTGGGGGATGAAAAGCATCCCTTTGTGCAGGCTTTAATTGCCATGTTGTTGTGCCAAGTGAATGAGTGGCAGGCAGGCATAGCAGCTGGGCACAGCCAATGCCAGGCAGCAAAGCCCGCTGCCTTAGGACAGCCTGGGCCAGCTGGCCTGGGAGTGCTGCCCACCTCTGCCCCCCATTGGGGGCCCTGTACAGGGACCGTAGGGCACAGGGGTCCTCGGGGAGCTAGGGAGGAGTCATTGCAGGGAGAGAAAGGGGTGGGGTGCCTGGGAGGGTCTCAGACACTAGGAGTGTATTCATCTCAGCCTCCTTTCCCCTCCCCCTTCCTCCTGTTTTTCAGACTGTCAGCATCAATAAGGCCATTAATACGCAGGAAGTGGCTGTAAAGGAAAAACACGCCAGAAATATCCTTTTGGATGTTGCTTGGAAGACCAACCCCCAGGCGGGTCAAATTGTGGGGACTGAGGTCAGGGCGAGGTGTCCTTGCTCAGCTGCAGGAAGGGGAACCCCTACATTGGCCAGGCCTCCTGCAGGGTTCAAGCTGCCTCAGTGGGCAGCAGCTGGCCTTTGAGACCACAGTTCATCAGGGTGAAGGGACCAAAGCCACCTCCTAGCTCAGCTCTTTACAGCTTACCAAGGACCCCGCCCCTCTTAGGCCTTCCCTTTGAGAGATTTCCTGGGGGTACAGGAGGGATTGTCAAAGCACTCCAGACCCTGCACTTGGCCCATAGGGGCCACACGGACCACCCCCTTGGGAACATGATCATCTCCCCTTCTCTGGGCTCGAAAGCCAAAGGTCTCCGCTGCCTTATGTCCCAGTGGGTGGGGGGCGAGATGTGCAGCCATGGACGTAAGATCCACCAGTGTGAGCTGGTTCACGCACAGTCAGCCGGGCAGAAGACAAGAACCTCACGGCAGCGTAGGGAACTGGTGGCTTGGAGGTTTTCACCACCAACCCCCTACTCCCACCCCCACCCCCACGCCAAGTTTGGCCCCAGGCAGCCACCCTCGTGGGGTGTGGCTTTGGAGGGAAGTGCAGACTGCATGCTGGCTGTTGGATCCCTTGGGATCTGCCCTTGACGGATAGAGTCCAAGAGCTGGAGGGTTGACTCCCAAAGTTCCAAAGCAAGGCTGCGAGTGGGGTGAAGCCATTGTTTGTATGTGTGCCGGGGAGGAGCAGGGTACAGCCCGGGGCAAGCGGAGGCTGGGCTTCTTGTGGTGGCGGTAACACAGCTGGGTCAGAACAGCTCATGTGGAAGCCATCCCACCTCAGCCCCTGGAGGAGACCCTCCGGGTATGGTGGCCAGAGGAGCCCTGCCCCGTCAGCAGGATGCCTAGCCCATAGCAGGCCATCGGGAAGCATTGCTAACGGCACGTACTGCTCTTTACTGATGGGTAAGTAGCTTGTCTTTGGTGGGAAGATGCTTTGGTTGGACTTTAGGGCTTTGCTGCAGGCTGGGGGCTCTAGAACGTCTCCCAGGTACCCCAGAAACCTGGCCTGACCGTGAGCCTAGTTAGACCTTGCCCTTTTATCCCCAGAAAGGCACAGTCCCCTTGCTTTACCAAGTCAAGAAAAGCCCCGATGACTTTCTCAGGGGGAATGACCTGGTCCTGACCCCCATTCTGCTAAGAATACTGATCCGTCCAATTGAGATATGAAATAAGAGTCTGTTGTCGAGGCCAGTGTGCTCAGGCCACATCACAGCCTTCCAGGGAGGCTACCCGGGGTGATGGAAGGGGCACCACAAGGAGGTTCTGGAATCCAACCTCGGCAGCAGTCTGGCTTGCTCTGGAGCCTTGAGTGGGTCCAGCGGGGCCTCCGTGAGCCTTCATCCCCGTGTCTGTCAAATGAAAGACTTGGCCAAAGAAGATTTCAAAGGTCTAACGTTCCTGCTCTCACCTCCTGTGAATTTCTCTGCTTCACCATTTCTAGGAAGTGGATAAATGTTAAAAGGCTCAACTCCAAAGAGTAGGGTTTTAAAGCCTAAAGATACCACAAAACATTTATTCTTTATTGATTTTTTTGGAGACCATCAGCCCCTCTCAATCCCAGCTGAATAAGCATTTGGAAATCTGACGTCAGAAGTGCTGTTCAGACAGCCATTTATCCTGGGTGTCTAACTGCCCCCCCTCCCTGCCCCCAGCATGTATCCACTCCCAGAGGGCTAGGGACTGAGTTTTATTTATTTTTTTATATCCCTGAGTGCCTTTTATAGTGCCTGACACGCAGGAGGTGCGTTAAAATGCTTATGAAATCAAAGGACGGAAAGGTCTCCTTGCCTCTCTCAAAGGTCTCCTTGCCTCTGCCTGGCTAGCTCTACACCTGCTCCCACTTCTGGTAAAGTAACCAGAGTCTGCCGTAAGAAGTCAGCCCGTGAGAGGGGTTGCAAGCTGTCCATCTCTCCTCTTGGCTTCCATCTAGCCTGAGGGGACTGAGCTTTAGGGGAAACTAGTTATTTCAGAAACCCCTCTAAGGCCAAAAGCTGACATCAGCTTCCAGACCCAGAAGTCTGTGTTCAAGCCCGCCCCTCCTCGAAATGCAAATTTCAGTTTGGGGAAAGAACTTGTTGATACCTTCCAGCTCAGAAGCAAAACAACATGTGTTCTGGATGAATCATAGAGTTTCTGGCCCGAGGCAGGTCTTTCTGTCCTGAGTGGCACCCCGCTTCTTACCTGAGCCTTGACAAAGAAGCCTGTAGTTCTGGGGAAAGACCAGAGCATTGGAGTTGATGGTGCCCAGTTGCTGGGTGTGTGAGGCCCATGTAAGCGCTAACTTAAAATCACGCTAGACCAGATGGACGTTTATTACATAGAGGTTGTGGCAGGCAGTCTGTGGGTGCATTTGAAATTGGATCTCGGGTAGATGTGGCCCCAGGATTCCACATACAGCGAGTTCAAGGTATAGGGAAATGCATGCACCAAGGAGCATAAACCAAGAAGGTTTATGGAAAGGGTGGGGTATAAGAGTCATTTTAAGTTTCGGGGAAATGCTTCCAGTTATGAAATGACTAAATCAGGGGGGATGCAAGGTACAGCATCGGGAATATAGTCATTGGTATTGTAATGGTGTCATCTGGTGACAGACCGTAGCTATATGTGAAGTTGTCTGATCGCTATGTCGGATACCTGAAATGAATGTGTATCGGGTACCGACTATACTTCAATAAGGAAATAAATCACAGAAAAGAGCAGAGTGCCCGTATGGAGAGGAGTCAGGTGCTGCTTGGAAGAGGAGCCGAGGTGTCCCCACCAGGGCCAGGGCCCCTGATGAAGAGCTGAAGCCTGCCCTCACTTCTGAATACTGGATAAGAAAGAACTTTGAGACACTGTAATGTGTTGCTAAAATGTGAGCTGTTATTATTCCCCGAAAGGCCCCATCACACCCTCAGCCAAACCCAGGGGAAGGGCAGAGTCTTCCTCCCACAGCAAAACCCTTATTTCAGCCAAAGCATCTTCCTGCTAAAGGCAAACCAGGACCACCACTGGCCCAGAGCACACTTGTACAAACTGGAAAAGGGCCATCCGTGCCTTTGTTTTCCATGACCCGCCCCCTCACCGTGCATACTGGGCACCCACCATGAGAAAGGGGCACAGACCTTTTGGTCTGTTGTCAACCGGCTGCCCCTCTCTAGCAATGCTGTCCTCTGCTGGAAGTTCTGCCACGTGTTTCACAAACTGCTCCGAGATGGACACCCGAACGTGAGTTCCTGGGACCACAGGGGATGGCCAGGGGGCCAGGGACCCATGTGGGGAAAGTGGGATCGCCTGGGGAGAAGGGCGCTGTCCACTCTGGCACTGAGGCGGGGGCAGCTTGCCCTTCTCCTGGCCTTTAGGTTGCTGGTTAGAGGTGGACTTGTCTGTCAGCCTCTCTGCCCACCCCAGCCCCATCTTATACCAGCCTCTGTCTCCTTGCCTTCTCTTCTCTCATCAGCTGTTCTCTTCCCTCTCCAGGTCCTCAAGGACTCCCTGAGATACAAAAATGAATTGAGTGACATGAGCAGGATGTGGGTGAGTTTGGAGATGCACCCGGGGTCCACCTGCACCTGCTTCTTCTTCCCCAGAGGCCACAGAACAAGGACTGTGGAACGGAATGAATTCATCTCTTTCAGCTTGCTTAGGATTTCTCTCATGACCATCAAGGAGGGGTCAACAAGGGCCCCAAACAGTACCATGATATCCACGGTCTTACCTGGGGACCCTAAAGCTGTAGGGAAGTTCTAGGGCCTGGGAGTTTCTCCTGCCAATGGAACCTCACATCGTAATGGTCTCTAGGCATTGGATCCCTCAGCAGTGACTTTGCCACAATTCCTGTGTCTTTCCTTCTGCTGGTCCCATGTGGGTCACAGTACACTGAGAACTAGCATTCCCAATTCGTAATGCCAGTACCGTTTTTTTGCCTTCTTCCCTGAGAATCTAGAGATTCTCAGTGCCTTAGGATGGGGGAGGAGGTAGGTGGTGGTATTGGAATCAATTGGAAAAGAAGGTTTTTATACACACACACCAGGATCCCTCTAGATTCTGTTGTCCAAGGAGTATGTGTATTGACTGTGCATAATCTGCATTTTGAAGACTTTCTTGGGTTGATTCTGATATGTCTGTTTGCCCCCACTGGTTGAGAGCTCTGGCCCTTTCCTTCAAATTCTTAGTTTTACTCACAGAATGTTAGCAATTGTGTCATCCAGTGTACCCATTGCTGATGAGAATACAGGCCCAGAGAGGGAAGCAGCTTTTCCTACATCACAGGCTAGTTGGTCTGAACAAAGCTGAGAGTTGTCCCCAAACCTCCCAGGTGCATGTTGGAGAGCTTTCAATTATATCTCTAAACATGGAAAGCTTGAGTCTTCTTTTTTGTTAGAATTTGCCTGGTGTATCTTTTTCCACCCTTCTACTTTTGACTTTTCTATATTTTATGTCTTAGAAAAGTCCCTTATAAATAGCATTTAGTTGGATTTTGTTGTTGCTTTTCGTCAAGATGGCAGTCTTTGTCTTTTAGTTGTACATTTACGCCATTTACGTTTATTATAACGCAAAATATTTTTAGATTTATACCTTCCATCTTAGTTTGTGCTTTCTCTTTGCCCCTACTGTCCTGTTTCTGTTTCTCTTCATTTCTTGTCTTTTTTGGACTGATTGGGTATTTTTTTTTCTCGTTCCATTCTCCCCTTATTACTAGTTAGGGGAGATTTTTTTTTTTAACTCTGCTTTTATTTCTTACCCTTTGGTATGTTATCCAATAATTACAAAATGCATGTTTAGTTTATCAAGAGCTAAAATTCATGCCTTTTAGCTGTTTCCTCTATAACACAAAGACCTTAGGGGTGAATATTTTCACTCCATGCCCTCCCTCTAAACTTGTATGTTATTGTTGTCATGTATTTTAGTTTTGGTTTTGTTTTTCTTTTTAGACTATAAGATATTTTATTTTAATTGTTTTATTCTGTGCTCTTTCTTTCTTTACATCTGTATTCTAACATATGGGGTCACTTTTTTGTCTGCCTGAATTATTTCCTTTAGTGAGAATCTCATGGTGGCAAATAACCGATTTTACTTGTTTGGGAATGTCTTTATTTCACTCTCCTATGTGGAAGATACTCTCTCTGGGTGACAGTTATTTTCTCTCAGCACATGGATGATATTATTCAAGATATCCTTCCACTGACTTCGGGATGCCATCATTTCCATGAAGTTGGCTATCAGAGTCATTGTCCCTTCTTAAAAGCAAATCTGGTTTTCCTCTGGCCATTTTAAGACCTTACTACGAATAGGTGCAAATTTATTTGGGATTCTTTAGACGTCTTGAATCTGTGGGTTAATATCTTTTTTATTGTTATGTTAATCACCATACATTACATCATTAGTTTTTGATGGGTTAATATCTTTTATCAGTTACAAAAAATTCTCTGTCTCGGGGCGCCTGGGTGGCTCAGTTGGTTAAGCGACTGCCTTCGGCTCAGGTAATAATCCTGGAGTTCCTGGATCGAGTCCCGTATCGGGCTCCCTGCTCAGCGAGGAGCCTGCTTCTCCCTCTGGCCCTCTCCTCTCTCATGTACTCTCTCTCTCTCTCTCTCATTCTCGCTCTCTCAAATAAACAAATAAATCTTTAAAAAAAAAAAAAAAAATTCTCTGTCTCTTCAACTGTCACCTTTGCTCCACTCCATATTTACCCCTGAGACTTTGGTTATGTCAGTCTTTCCCACTCTATACCCCAGTGCCTTTTTTTTTTTTTTTAAGCTCTACGTCCAACATGGGTCTTGAGCTCATGACCCTGAGATCAAGAGTTTCATGCTCCACCGACTAAGCCAGCCAAGCACCCCCCTCACCCCATGTCTTTAAACCCCTGTTTCATTGTTTTCTACCGTTTGCCTCTTTACAGCATTCTGGGTAGTTTCAGTAAATCTAGCTTTCAGTTCATTTGTTGTTCCCTTTTCAGCTGGGTCTAATCTGTTGTTAAACCTCTTCATAAGATTGATAATTTTAGTCTAGCTTTTATTTCTTGGAGTTCTTTTTTTTCCCCCAAATCTGCTTGTCATTTTTTATGATTTCTTGTGTCCTGCATGTATTTTGAAACAGCCTCTTATTTACTTAGACAAATTAGACAGTGATCTCATATATCACTTCTTATACTTCCGTTATCTAAAGCCCCTCGAGATCTGTTCCTGCCATCCGTTGTTTTTGATGAATGTTGTTCATGCTGTGGAGTTTCTTTTTGTGCTTATTTTTTACTGTGCATTGCTCATTTTCCTAGGAATCGTATTTGTGGGAACTCTTTCAAGTCAGGTTCCTCCAGAGAGAATGGGCATTTCCTTCCATTGAGATCACTCTAAATTAAATTCTCAATTTAAGGTTTTATGAATTCCAGGCAGAGCCCCTTGAGCTCTGGCTCCTGCGTCCAATTCCCAGAAGTTGTTTTTCCCTCCCTCTGATCATAACAGTGGTTTGAGGTCCTCAGGGAGGACTCTTTTGGTGCAGGAGTGCTGGGATCTGTGTTATTTCCAGTTCGCCCTTGGTTCCTCTACCCCAGGGAAGCAATCTTTGCGTCTTCCACCAGACTCTTCAACGTGGGCAGGCCAGGGCCCTGCCTCCTATTCACCACCTGGTTCACGTGGTGTGGCAAAACCCCGTCCCCACCAACTCCATCACCCCAGCATTCCACTTATTCACCTAGTATCTGTATGGACTCAGTCCCTGCCCTGAGGATTCCTTAGCCTCTCATTAGTTCATTAATGCCTTCAAAAAGAAGTTTTAAATATTTTACCCAATATTTTAGTAGTTTTCAACGGGAAGGTCAACCCAGATACCTAGCCTGACTTGTAATCCAAACTGGAATTCTTTAAGAACCTAGCTTCCTATGCAGTGGTCTCTTCCATTTGGTGGAGAGTTTTGGATTTTAGAAACCTTTGTACTTTTTTTTTTAATTAAGACCTAATTTTTTTTTTAAAGATTTATTTATTTGAGAGAGAGAGAGCATGCACACCTCAGTGCGGGGAGGGGCAGAGGGAGAGGGAGAGAGTGAGAATCTCAGGCAGACTCCTCACTGAGTACGAAGCCCAACTCAGGGCTCGATCCCAGGACCCCGAGATCATGACCTGAGCCGAAATCGAGAGTCAGCCACTTAACTGACTGAACCACCCAGGGACCCCCTATTTTTTTTTTTTTTTTAGAGCAAGTTTTAGGTTCCCAGCAAAATTGAGCAGGAAGTATGGAGATTTCCCATATACCCCCTGCCTCCAAACACGTGTAGTGTCCCCCTTTACGAACATCCCCTGCCAACATAGTACATTTGTTACAAGTGATACACCTTCACTGATAACATCATAATCACCTGAAGTCTGTAGTTTGCATTATAGTTCACTTGTGGTGTTGGGGCATCGTATATTCTGTGGCTTTGGACCAATGTATCAGGACATGTACCCATCACAGTGGTATCACACAGAATAGTTTCACTGACTTCAGAAATCCTCTGTGCCTCACCAATTCATCCCTCCCCACCTCCCCCAGCCCTTGGCAACCACTGGTCTTTTTACTGTCTCCACAGTTTTGCCTTTTCCAGAATGTCATGGAATTGGAATCATACAGTATGTAGCCTTTTCAGATTGGCTTCTTTCCCTTAATAACATGCAGTTAAGGTTCTTCCATGTCTTTTCAGGGCTTGATAGCTCATTTCACTTTTAGTGCTCAGAAATATCCCATTGTCTGACTGTACCACAGTTTATCCGTTCACCAACTAAGGAATGTCTTGGTTGCTTCCACATTTTGGCAGTTATAAATAAGGCTGCCGTAAACACCCATGAACAGGTTTTGTTTGGACATAAGTTTTCAACTCCTTTGGGTAAAAACCAAGGAGTGCCACTGCTGATTTGTGTGGTAAGAGTAAGTTTAGTTTTATAAGAAACTGCCAAACCGTCTTCAAAAGTGGCTGAACTAGGGGCGCCTGGGTGGCTCAGTCGTTGGGCATCTGCCTTCGGCTCAGGTCATGATCCCGGGGTCCTGGGATCGAGCCCCGCATCGGGCTCCCTGCTCGGCGGGAAGCCTGCTTCTCCCTCTCCCACTCCCCCCTGCTTGTGTTCCCTCTCTCGCTGTGTCTCTCTCTGTCAAATAAATAAATAAAATCTTCAAAAGTGGCTGTACCGTTCTGCATTCCCACCGAGCAATGAGCAAGAGGTGCTGTGGCCCACATCCTCACTGGAATTTGGTGTTATCAGTATTCTGGATCTTGGCCATTCTCACAAGTGTGTACTGGTATCTCAGTGTTGTTTTAATTTGTGTTTCCTGGTAACATACGATGGGGAGCATCTCTTCCTACGTTCATTTGCTATCTTCTTTGGAGAGGTGTCTGTTAAGGTCTTTGGCCCATTTCTTTAATCAGGCTGTTTATCTTCTTATTGTTGAGTTTTATTTATCTTTTTTAAAGATTTTATTTATCTACTTGACAGAGATATAGCGAGAGAGGGAACACAAGCAGGGGGAGTGGGAGAGGGAGAAGCAGGCTTCCCGAGGAGCAGGGAGCCCGATGCGGGGCTCGATCCCAGGACGCTGGGATCATGACCTGAGCCGAAGGCAGACGCTTAACGACTGAGCCACCCAGGCGCCCGTGTTGTTGAGTTTTAAGAGTACTTCATAGGTTTTGCATAACAGTCCTTTATCAGATGTGTCCCAGTCTGTGGGTTCTCATTCTTCTGACAGTGATTTTTCCAGACTTTTTTTTTAATTTTAATGAAGTCCAGCTTGATGATCAATTATTTCTTTCATGGAGCGTGACTCTGGTGTTCTATCTAAAAAGTCATTGCCGTACCCCAGGGTCATCTGTTACTCCTATGACTTTTATAGTTTTACGTTTTACATTGAAGTCTATGACCGATTCATCTTTTGCTTTTTGATCCTGGTGCCTTTTCATGTGAAATATAGTTGTCTTCGATGATGAGCATAGTTTCACTTTGTCTGCTCTCCGCTACTTCATAATTTTTCCATGACGAACAAGTACAATGTTCAGTTCATAAAATACGATTTTTCATAGAAAACTAATACATTAGGAAATAGTCTGATCTCTGGCATTGATATTTTTAACCTCCTCTGATGACCCCACTCCTTTGGTGCCCTTCGAGGCATGTTTCAGTGGGGTTCCTCTACTCTAGAGGATGTAGATGCACCCAGAGATGTAGAAGTTAGAGCTCATGTGGGAACCACAGCTGTTCTTTGTGCCCCTACCCCCCTCCTCTTTTGTGTTCATCTGGGACTTGCAAGCATCACTCTGCTAATTCCAGCTTCTTCTCAGGCACCCAGGACGTGACTGCATGGGCAGATTCCACGGGAAGTCTTATTTGTCCCCAGCTGGGATCTGGGATCTGTCCCATTTCCATCCCCATCCCATGTAGAATGCTCTAGCTGCTCTCAGTCGGCTGGAGTCCATCTGGAAGAGGTGCTTCCTCTCCTGCACTTAGAGAGAGAGACAGGAGGAAGGAAATAGCCTATGACCAGACTGTGATTGCTCAGGGTGGGAGACTTAAAATTCTTAAATCAGAAGCCTTGTCTAGAAGTCATGCAAAGGAAGTTCTCGTGTTGGTACACAAGATTATACGGTAAGAACATCCATTGAAATATAGCTTATAATAGAAAAACATGCCTGCAGGGCGCCTGGGTGGCTCAGTCGTTAAGCGTCTGCCTTCGGCTCAGGTCATGGTCCCAGGGTCCTGGGATCGAGTCCCACATCGGGCTCCCTGCTCAGTGGGAGGCCTGCTTCTCCCTCTCCCACTCCCCCTGCTTGTGTTCCTGCTCCCGCTCTCTCTGTCAAATAAATAAATAAAATCTTTAAAAAAAAAAAAAAAACATGCCTGTAACTAAGACATACAAGAGTAGGGAGTTCGTTTGATAAATTATAGTATGTACTTAATAAAAATATCATTAAAAATATCACTAAAAATAATGAAACAGAAGAAAACTTGAGAAGATAGGGAAAAAATTGAAGTATATTAAGTAAAAAAAAAAATGGACTCCATTTTATATTTTCAAATAAAGGTGGAACACAGGATTTTTAAGGCAGTGAAACTATTGTGCGTGATACCATAATGGTAGTGACAGGACGTTATCCATTTGTCAAAACCCATAGAATGTACCACACCAAGAGTGATTCCTAAGGTATACTTCACTTTGGACAATAATGATGTATCAGGGAAGGTTCGTCAGTTGGAACAAATATCCTACTCTGGTGCTGATGTTGACAGTGGGGATGGTTTTGTACACATGGGAACAGGGAACATATATAGGAGATCCCTGTACTTTCTGCTCAATTTTGCTGAGAACCTTTTTAAAACAGCTCGAAAAAATAACATCTACATTATTTTAGGGGTGCGTGGCTGGCTCAGTCAGAAAAGCTGTGACTTTTTTTTTTTTTAAGATTTTATGTATTTGTTAAACATTTATTTTTTTTATTTTTTTCAAGATTTTATTTATTTGAGAGAGAGTGAGCGAGAGAGAGAGAGAGAGCAAGCACGAGCAGGGGAGGAGTAGAGGGAGAGGGAGAAGCAGACTCCCCGCTGAGCAGGGAGCCCCATGCGGAGCTCGATCCCAGGACTCCAGGATCATGACCTGAGCCAGAATCAAGAGTCGGACGCTCAACCGACTGAGCCACCCAGGCACCCCAAACATGCGACTCTTACTCTCAGGATCATGAGTTTGAGCCCCATGTTGGGTGTAGAGATTACTTAAATAATAAAACTTTAAAAAAAAAAAAAGTCTGTTTAAATTGAAAAAAGGTTAAATAAAATAACATTTTTTACTCCAGAATGTCCACCATGATTCTATCTGGTGTGTAGATTAAGGGTGATTTGTTTGTACCTGCGTTTGTGTGCATCTTCCAGGATTTTCCACAATGGCCATTTGTTATTTTCAGTATCAGAAAAAAATATATCTATTGTTAAAAACAGAAGTCCTGGCTGTCAGTCTCTCCCCCAAATGTTAGTATTGATACCCTGCTTTCTTTTCTTTTCCCGAAAGGGCCACCTGAGCGAAGGGTATGGACAGCTCTGCAGCATCTACCTCAGACTGCTAAGAACGAAGATGGAATATCACACCAAAGTGAGTCTGCCAACGGTCCTGCACACAGGCCCCCCACCCGCATCCCTCCCCCGCCCCACCTCCCCACCCTGGCCACCTCTGTGGGCCAAACTCTCAGGTCTTTCTGGGAATAAGGTGGCCCGCGTCCCTCAGGGAGTGTTTATACCACATCCAGTGAGAGGAAGGTATTTTATAGGATGGCTGCAGTGGGACTCGGGACTACATTTTCCACACCTTTTTATTCCCCGTTTTGCAGAGAGGACCCCTATCCAGTAGGCTGCCTTAGGAAAATGTTTCGGAAGCACTGCCTTGACTGTGAATAAAAACAGCCCCTTCCTTTTATGTAGTGAGTTCCCACACAGAAGCTTCTTTGCATCCATCTGTGGCCTTAGAGGGTCTTTCTAATGGCGCCGAATGCAGGTAAAACCGTCGTGCTGGGTAACCAGGTGGCACGTAAGGATACAACCAGGTGGCACGTAAGGATACAACCAGGTGGCACGTAAGGATACAACCAGGTGGCACGTAAGGATACAACCAGGTGGCACGTAAGGATACGTAGAAAGGGTCTGCTCGGCAGGAGTGCCCGGGTCCGTCGGGGGGAGGAGGTTTACGTACCTGCGGCACCGTGTCACAGTGCGAAGCGGTCCCACGAGCCTGTAAAAGGAGCCAGAGGCCTTCTGAGATGATGTGGGACCATGGCATGCAAGGGGAAGATGAAGGAAGCGGATCGAGGCAGACGGTGGAGGGAGGGTGTGGCTGGAGCAGGGAGGGGCAGGAATGGCCTGGAAGCAGAGCGGGGAGCTGGCACTGGAAATGGGGAAGGGAGGAGATTTACCTTTTATGGACTCGCGGGGGGGGGGGAAGCGGGGGAGGTTTCTGATTCACGGAACCCACCCTGCTGTGCTAGCCATTCCTACCTACTTAATCCTCACCGCGACCCTAGGAAGGCTGTATTATAGCCCAGGAAAATGAAACTGGGAGCGTGCTCAAGTGTCTTGCCTTGTCACGCAGCTCCTTGGCAATGAGGTGGGACTCGAACCCAGGCCTGTAGGGCACAAAAGCCCCTGCTGCTCAGTGGCCACCCTTCCCTCTGCTTGTGTAGCGCCGGGTGCTTGCCACAGCCCAGAACTGGGTTAGGTTCTGAAGAGAAAAAGGTGAAGGGACTTTGGCCCGGGCTCCAGGAGTCGTATTTGCTTGGGAGACAAGCCAGGCAAGTCCAGTGAGGACCAGAACTGAAAGATGCACAAGATGGTACAGGAGCTTGTAATGGGGTGCCGTGCCCAGACACCGGCCACCCAGGTAGGCTTCTCAAAGGCAGGACACCTGAGCTCACCCCCAGCTCAGTGGCTGAAACACCAGCAGCCTTTTATCATCTCTCACACCTTCTGTGGGTCGGATGTTCCAGAAGGGCTGGGCTGGGCAGTTGCAGGCGGCAGGTCCCCCATGTGGTCCCAGTCTGGTGCTGGCTGGAGCTGGGACAGTGTGGACATGGCCTGGCGTCTCCCTCCTCACGAAGTCTCAGTGCTTGTGAGGACTCCCTTGCAGCCCGGCCAGTTTCCCAAGAGAACAAGGTAGAAGTGCGTGGCATTTATAAGACTCAGCCTCGAAGTCACAGAGCATCCCTTCCACTGTCCTATATGGGCTGAGGCAGTCACAGGGGTCCCTGGATTCAAGGGGGTGGGACAGGGACCACACCAGCCAAGGTGGAATGTCGAGGTCACATTGTAAAGACAGCGTGTCGAACCGGAGGGGCAGCTGGTGTTGGACGTACAGTCTGCCGGTCTGCCGTCTGGCCCCACAGTTCGTTTCCTGCCCTCCCTCCCTCCCTCCCAAGGAATACACTCACACCTCCCGCAGACCCCCAGAGCCTTGTCTGCCACCTTGCAGGTAGAGGAAAGGCCACTGAAGAAGGGCAGGGCGGCCGTGCTAGGCAGAGGGTCAGCTGCAGACAGAAGGGCTTGATGCCCAGCACAGTGTGGGGTTCCTGAGGAACGAGCCACAGACCCACCTCAGTGTGAGCAACAGGCAGGTGGAGAGTGGGGGAGGGGGTGACCGGGCAGCTGTGTGAGACCATCCCACTCAAGACGGTGGAAGACGGTGGGAACCAGATTAGGACGGTGGTCCCCGGGGCAGGCCAGAGTGGTGGGGGCTCTGAAGAGTGGCAGGAGGGGTGGGGGGGCAACAGCTACGGCGATGTGGGGCCCGTGGGAAGAACCTGGGCGATTGCAAGAAGTACAGGAGCCCAGGGAAGCAAGTGAGGCCACGGGTGCTCTGGACTCCGGGCTCCGGGAGGACAGAGGACAGGTGTGTGTGTCTCCCCATGTCCTTTGTCCTATGCCCTGCCCCGCATCTAGCACAGAACAGGTGCTCAATCAGGACTCCTTGCATGAGGGACAGAATGAACCAGAACCTAGATCTGATCAAATAGTGCACAAGGAGGGCTGATCCCAAGTCAAGAGAGAGGCTGGCCCTTACTCTTTTGAAGCAGGAGGAACGGAAGGATAGCTGGCACATTCAGAACGGGGGAGGGAGTGGGAAGCAAGATGCTGACGGAGATCCAGGGATGTAAGGAGGAAGGCACGGACCAGGGCGGTGAGGAGCCGGGCCAGTAGCCAGGACCGGGAAGGGGCACTAAGGCTGGAGAACATGATTAAAGGGGACTCCAGCTGTGAGTCCTTCTCCAGGGACATTGGCAGCGGGTCCTCGAACAAAGACCCAGGCTCACGGGGTTTTGACAGCAGTGTGGTGGAAGGACAGGCAGCAAGAAGGGGTAGGGACACAAGAGCAAGTCTCTGTAATGTCCAGACTGAGCGAGGAGGTTAAATATGGCCAGAAGGGGGCGCTCAAGGAACTGGTCAGCTCTGAGACAGAGAAGCCCCTGGGGTGAGCCTGAGGGCTGGAGGGGGCCAGGGCAGAGGGGAGAGCCAGGAGGTGTGCAGTGGAAGATTTATGTCTTCAGAGCCTAAAGTATTCTCCGTGGAATTGAGACCCCCTTGACTGGCCACCCATCAGTGCCCGTCTGCACCTTTCCCTTTGCCTTGTGTTCCATCCACTCCAGGCGGGCCACACCGGGGAAGAGATAATGCCAATATGAAAATGGGTTTGCCTTCCCCAAACTCACAATGGCAGCTTCGGGAAGCGGCCAAAGGACAGAGGGAAGCATGGGTGGGGTTCAGAATGTACTGGGGTTACATAAATGCGGGACTGTCTGTGCCTCGTGGATGGTTGAGGGCCGACCACTGTCACGCTGGGCCTCACTGGAGGGCCAGAGAGCATCTTTAGAAGAATGTTCCAGGACATGAACTGTTAGGGCAGAGCCCTGTCCTGGCTCCCAGATATGGGATGGAGCCTTCACCTCTGATGATGGGTAGTGGATATTCTCTGCTGCGAGCTGGTCAGGGGGTCTGTGTGCACTGACACATCCCCCGCAAAGGGTATGGGTAGCTGCACGAGCAGAATCAAGCCTGCTGCTGCCTGAGCCGGCTTGCCTGATGTCAGCTTAGTTGAGGTGCCCTGTCCTGACTGCATTCCTCTGCCTCCCTTTCCAGAATCCCAGGTTCCCGGGCAACCTTCAGATGAGCGACCGGCAGCTGGATGAGGCTGGAGAGAGCGATGTTAACAACTTGTGAGTGGCTGTCCTCATGCTGGGGACCCAGCGGGGAAGAAAGCTCGATGTTGTCACACAGGGCGTGATGGCAAGGGCAGTGGCTGGGCTGGGGCCACTTAGTGTTGGTGCCTCATCCAGAATCCTTCCAGGCTGCCCAGGGTTCGATTCTCGGTGTTACCCGCTGTCCTCCCCACCCGGCATGGCACCTGCCCTCCCCTAGCTGCCACCATCACTGTGGAATTCACCCTGCTTGATCTTCAAATGGCCTTAAGACCCACGTGGGTGGGGGCTAAGGATTGGGTGTGGGGGGTGGGCATGTCTGTGTGTGCACGCACGTATGCACTGGGGACAGAGACAGCAACACAGAGCAGGGGGCAGGGGGCAGGGGACAGGTGAAGCACTGGCCTCAGGCTCTGGAATATAAGCTCTCTCTCCTCTTGTGTCCAGTTTCCAGCTAACAGTGGAGATGTTTGACTACCTGGAGTGTGAACTTAATCTCTTCCAAACTGGTGAGTCTCTCCCTCCCGTCTGGCCCAAGCTCTCATGGGAATTGCCTAATTCTGAGCTTTGTTCCCGGCTTAGACCAGCCATCCTAGCCCCCTTCTCCCTACAAGGTTGTGCAGCACAGGTCAGGAAATGGGAATATCCACACCCTATCTCTGCTCTCCTCGTCCCTGGTGCAGGGAGGGGCTGGAGCTCGTGGGTGTTTTCAGAGTCGGTGATTTCATTCTGAGCAGAACGACCATGCTCCCCACCCTGCGGGCCTCCCTCTGGAAGCCCAGGCCTCCCAGAGCCCGAAGACAGGTCTGACCTCTTTGATAACCTTTGGACTGTGGCCCCCAGGCTGGCCGGTGCTTTGTCTGCCACTCAGCTGGGTTGGCACTCGGGACGGATTGCTGCTCAGGAGGAGGGGCTGCTGTGTGCCGTTTGGTCGGCAGCCAGGGTCGACCAGCTGGTCGAGTTGAGTTGTTGGCCAAGTCCATGTGAGAGGCCCGTGAAGCCCCTTTCCACTAGCAAGGGGAATTGGCCGCCCTTCCAGGCTCCCTTCGCTGAGAGTTCTGGTGCCCCCCAGCTGTCAGCCCCCAACACTTCCCTGACCGGAATCAGGAAGGAAGCAATCCGTTCCCTTCTCTTTGCTGTCCCTTCTTCCCACACCTGCCAGCATGACTCCCCCTTCTCTCCTGGGGAACAGAAAAGCCTGTTTTCTAAGATTCAAGATGCTCCACAACAAGTGCCCAGCTCCGTGAAAGAGTGGATTCCAAGCTAGGAGTATTTGTGCACAAGCTTGGTGACCTTCTCAGCGTTTGGACATGTGGGACCCACTCTTGGGGCTCTGATTTTCTCAGGAAAAACAGACACTCTCTCCCCCTGAATTATACCTTCCTTTGGCATGTAAGCAGCTACTTACAACTGGCCTGATACCAGCCAGCGCTGGGCCAGGGCTGGGCCAGGGTGGCAAATGCCTTCGTACTTCGGCCAGTCAGTTCAGTGCTGGATGTGTGAGAGGATCACCACAACCAGTTGGGAACCGTGATTTGCAGGAGAAAGAAGAAGGTCAGTAGAGAAGTAAAAATGAAACACAAAATAGAATCCCTGCCCTAAGGTGTTACCAGCCAGGTAGGAGAAATAGTATGGATGCCTTTTTTTAAAATATTTTTTATTTTTTTAAAGATTTATTTATTAAAGAGAGAGAGCACGAGTGGGAAGGGCAGAGGGAGAGGGAGAGAGAGAATCTCAAGCAGACTCCCTGCTGAGCGTGGAGCCCAACTTGGGGCTCAGTGCTACGACCCGCAAGATCATGACCTGAGCCGAGACCAAGGGTTGGATGCTCAACCGACTGAGCCACCCAGACACCCTTCCCTGGCTGTTTTTATATGTGTTGATCACTTGTATTAATACCACTGGATGCTGAGCTCCTCCCTGGAGTCTGGAACCATGTCCTACTAATCTTTGAGTACTTTCCTCCGTTCTAGCCCAGTGTCTGGTATGTAGCAAGTGTTCAACAAAATTCAAGAATGCGTGCTTCAGATAAACAGCAATGAGGAAAGGACAGGGGAACAGTGCTCATAAAACGGTGTCAATATCCAGCCCAGTGCTGTGGGACTGCGAGGAGTGAATCGGCCACTTTGAGTTTTCTACGGGGGAGCACCTACCCCAAGTCTTGGCACAAACCCCAACATGGTTAAATGGTGGTGGCTTTCTGGCCCCTGAGCGAGCACTGATTCGGAATCAAGAGCCCTGTACCACTGTACCACTCATCTCCCCGCTCTCTGTCCCATCCCCAGTTCCCTACCGTGTGCCGCAAAAACCAAGGGAACTGGCATTGGAAGAAGTCTCTCCAGCTTCTGAGTTCTAGTCTGCGACCCTGCAAGGTGCCAGCCAGTACCCTCGGGTGCCCCTGGTTTTCACCTGTGGGAAACGTGGGCCAGTTACAGTTAACATTTATTTCTAGCGCTTGCAATGGTTCTCCAAGTGTGGTCCTCTGGACCAGCAGCATCAGCATCTCCTGAGAACTTGTTAGAAATGCAAAGCCCCTGGTGCCACCCTAGACCTACTGAATCTGAATCTCTGAGAGTGGGGCCCAGCCATCTGCATTTTAGCAGCCTACTCCCTCCCCGGCCAGGTCTACACCCATCCAATATGGTCGCCACTGTCCAATATGGTAGCCACTGTCCAATAGGTAGCGCCTATTTAAATTAATTTAAATTACATCTATTTAAATAAGTTATAATTGAATAACATTAAAAAGTCAGGTCCTCGGTTGCACTAGCCATATTTCAGGCACCCGGTAGCCCCATGTGGCTACCATACTGAACGGCTCATAGGGACACTTAGGCCATCACAGAATTCTCTTGCACAGTGCTACCGACCGATTCTGCTTCACGAGAACCACTCGGCCAGGAAATACAGCTTTCAACCCTAGCTGCCTGTTACAATCACCTGGGGGGCTTTTGGAAACCTACCGATGCCCCAACCCTACCCCAGACCAATTAAAACAGAATGGGAGGTAGGGGAGTTGCTGGGAAACAATAGATTTTGAATTTCCCCAGGTGATGCTAATCAGTTTCAAAGCCAACACCGAGAATCACTGCTGTGCTCCGCACTTTACACGACCCTGTCCTTGAATACGCACAAGACCTTTTCGAGGTACGTGCTCTTAGAACCCCCCGCATTTTACAGAAGACCATCTGGAGGCACAGAGAGATTGAGTAACTTGTCCCTGGTCACACTGCTCTAGATGTTACCGGATGCCAAAGGGGCATTCCTGGCAAGCGGCGGGCGCGCTGGAAGATGGAGCGGTCTGTGATCCCTTGCCAGAGTGGAGCCCAAAGAAGCCCGTGGACTTGAGGATGGCCGCCTTGCAGTGACAGCTGCTTTTAATTTGTGTCAAAAAAAAAAAAGCTGCCTTTTCATTAGAACTGTTTGGGATTTTTTTTTTTTTCCAGCTGCCAGAGTAAGCCAGTTAACAGGGATTCGTGCAGTGAGGGAAGGCTGAGCACAGCTGCTCTGGGCTTTCCTCTGAGCAGTCCCGCTCACTGATTTTTCTCGATGCTGGCCATGGTGGAGTCTCTGCAGGTGGTGGGCAGCCACTGCAGGAAGGAGCTCGGCTCTGACCAGTGGTGTGCACTGAGTGTCCACGGCCAGGCATCTGGTTGCTTGGTTTAAGAACGAGGGGGTACGGGGCGCCTGGGTGGCGCAGTCAGTTGAGCATCCAACTCTTGGTTTCGGTGATCTCAGGGTCGTAGGATCGAGCCCCGCATCAGGCTCTGCGCTTTGCATGGAGTCTGCTTGGGATTCTCTCTCCCTCTCTCTCTCTGCCCCTCCTGCTTGTATTCATTCTCTCTCTCTCCCTAAAATAAATTTTAAAAAGGGGGCACCTGGGTGGCTTAGTCGTTAAGCATCTGCCTTCGGCTCAGGTCGTGGTCCCAGGGTCCTGGGATCAAGCCCCACATCGGGCTCCCTACTCCGCGGGAAGCCTGCTTCTCCCTCTCCCACTCCCCCTGCTTGTGTTCCCTCTCTCACTGTCTCTCTCTCTCTGTCAAATAAATAAATAAAATCTTTTAAAAAAAAAAAAAAAGAACAAGGGGGCAGAGGGTAATGTGGAGGGGTCTGTGGAGCAAGACAGGGAGGGAGCAACGTGCTGTCTGGAGCTCGAGAGAGTAGAGGGCAGCACTTCTGCTGACCTGCCCCCCAGGGACTGACAGCAGCCTTTGATCCTGATGGTTCATCCTCGGCCCTGCGCACCCGGGGCTCCTACACGTGTCCCTTTCTGGTGTCCCAAGACCCTGTGGCAAGCCTCCAGGAAGCCAGGGCTGAATTATTCCCTCCTTCGTGTCCTGATCAATGTTTGCTATTTTCCCCATGTGATTGCCTTCCTGGGGCTCACCCTGTTTCCTCCCATGTGTACCTGTCCCACGGGAGTGTTGCGAGGGGTAACTGCGTCCGATGACATAGCATATGCACAGAGCAGGTCCTCGGTGTGTGTCAGACCCCTGCCTTCTGCCCCTCTGAGAAGGTCACCTGCAGTTTCTTATCCCCTACTGCCTGTGTCCCCTTTTATTCCCTAGTGTTCAATTCCCTGGACATGTCCCGCTCGGTGTCCGTGACGGCAGCCGGGCAGTGCCGCCTCGCCCCGCTGATCCAGGTCATATTGGACTGCAGTCATCTGTATGATTACACCGTCAAGCTCCTCTTCAAACTCCACTCCTGTGAGTACAATGGGCCAGATCTTCTTCTCTGTGCGCCTCTGGCCGGAAGGAGGATTACGGCCTTTCTGCCGTAATCAGTTGCCCTTTCTGCCACTGCTCCCAAAGTCCCTAGAGCTCCTGACCCTCTTGAGAGTGAGGAGCAGGGCACAAGCTTTGGTGTGCCCAGGGAAGCACCTGGCTCTCCATAGCGGTGTCCTGGGATGGCTCCCTCCCTCCACCTCTGGCTCCATCACATCTCTGTCCACACGTGTCGTGTATTCTAGGACCCACACGAATGATACCAGGCCCGGCCTGGACCCACAGGTGCAAGGGCAGTGGTGTCCAAAGTGTTCATCCACACAGCTTCTCTGGACATGTGGAACTTTATGGGGAAATAGAAAACATAAAACAGAGCTGCTCTCATACATGGTGGGCCGGCCCCTACCCAGCCACAGGTCCCTGGGATGCTTTTGCAGATTCTATCTTGGAAACTACTGTAGAGTTCTTATGCTTTTGTGTGCTTTTTGTTTAAGACAATGTGTGTGGGTCCTGCTCCTGTGGGGTCTGCTGTGGGTGAGTCCAGTAGGTTTGGGGTGTGCTTGGTGAAACCATACCCCAGGTGAAGCTGATTTGGGTGGTTTCTGGTCCACACTCAGAGGCGTTCCCCATGAGGGATATACACGTGCAGAATGTATGGATGAGGGAGAACCAAGAAAAATCAAGACCTGAGTGGATACAAGCAAGGTGTTACAGCCCTGGCAAAGGGACAAGGGATAGTCTAGAACTGTGGTCACTGACAAGAAGTGGGTCTGTTTATTCAGGGGGGACAGGAAGCGGCATCACTCGGGTTAATCCAGGAGCATCTCGTGGAAGGGAGGTTGGAATCGGATGTTTTAAGTGTTAGGAAGGCTTTGGACAAGTGAGCGCACCCAGAGGGGCAGAGAGCAGACTGAATCCCAAGGGAAGAAAGACAGTTTGTCCTACGCAATATATACTTCTCTAAAAATGAAGGTTTCATTTTAGAATAGTTTAGATCTACAGAAAAGTTGTAAAGATCGCTGAGGAAGTGCCCCCTATACCCTGAACCCAGTTTCCTTTATTGTTAATATCTTACATTAATATGATACATTTGTCACAATGAATGGACCGATACTGATACATTATTATCAACTGAAGTCCATACTTCATTCAGATTTCCATGGTTTTTACGTAATGTCCCATCCAGGACACCACATTACATTGAGTCATTGTGTCTCCCTAGCCTCCTCTTGGCTGTCACAGTTTCTCGGACTTTCCCTGTTTTTGACCACCTTGACGGTTTCAAGAATTGGTCGGACACTTGTAGAATGTCCCCTGATTTAAGTCTGCCCGGTGTTTTTCTCATGACTGGACTGGGGTTAAGGGTTCTGGGGAGAGAGGCCACCGAGATAAAGTGCCATCATCATCCACTGTCTTGCTGGGCATTTTGAATTATCATGTTTATATGCGCACTCCCTCTTTGTACCAAATAAATGTATCACCTATTCAAAAATTCCTAAAATGAGGGGGTGGGAGGGATGGGGTGGCTGGGTGATGGACACTGGGGAGGGTATGTACTATGGTGAGCGCTGTGAATTGTGTAAAACTGATGAATCACAGACCTGTACCCCTGAAACAAATGATACATTTTATGTTAATTTTTAAAAAATTCCTAAAATGTACATTTAAGGAACAAGACAAGAAATAAAGGGATCACTGAGTTGTGATCTATAGTTGAAGTATGCAGCGTCACGCATTCTGGGAGGAGAAGGGACCTCAGAGAACCCGCTCTGTAGGAGAGGAGGCTGGTCTAAGAGGCTGCTGCTTGTCCAGCATCTTGCTGTTGGCCGTGACCGAGTGAGCACCGGACTGGGATCCTGAGTGTTGTCCTATAAGCTTTGCCTTCTGGCAGGCATCCTCTTGGGCAGCTCTATGGATCCCTCTCAGATTAACTAACGTCTGTGCTGGACCGACCCAGTGCACGTACCTCTGGGAGAGCCACACCTCTGCCACATGCTGGGGGTCCGTCCTGCTGCTTGGTCAGGTCACCACGGTGTCTTCCGTGGTCAGGGACACAACTTCCAGCCCACTGCACCCAGAATGGCTCACGCTGCAGGAACAAACGGAAGGACAGATGTGGAAGAGAAGCACCCCTAGACTCATGGCTGGCCCTTCTGGGCCCCCTTGGTTACCAGTCCCTGTTCCTGGGGCAGCTCTCGGCCAGGAATGCCCACACCCCCGGCAGGCTGGCCACAAGCCCAGGGTGGATGGCCCTCTCCCTCCGGAGCCCCGCTGTGGCTCTCCTGGTCCTCCTGTGGTCCTCTTCCCGCTCACTCTTTTCCCAATTTCTTCCAGGTCTCCCAGCCGACACCCTGCAAGGCCACCGGGATCGCTTCATGGAGCAGTTCACCAAGTAAGTGGCTTAAGTGAGAGAAACGAATGCCATAAACTTGATTAGTCCACACAAGAGCACTTGCTTTAAAATGATTGAGGAATGAGGGTATTGGCAGAGTAAAGCAGTAGAGTGGAGGAGAATGACGATGGCAGCAAGTGTATCGCTGGCTGGCGAAGCTATCAGTTCTCTAGTAAAATCCACACGAGCATGTCGAAGAAGGGGATTTCATCCATTCATTCATCACCTGCTGTACGCCCCGGGCTTCGTTCTCTCTTTCTTCTCCCTATGTTCTCATACCACGTATGGTCCATGTGCGTGAAACGCAACACCCAGATCTGGAACTCTAGCTGACTGAGCCTTGCCTCTGAATTGGGTCTCACGCACCCAATTATCTGTCTTACATCTCAAACTGAGCTCTAGGTTTTCCTCCGCGAACTTTTTCTCCCAGGGTGCCTGGGTGGCGCAGTTGATTGAGCGTCCAACTCGGTTTCGGCTTGGGTCGTGATGGCGGGGTCGTGGGATCGAGCCCCTCCTTGGGCTCCACGCTCAGCGGGGAGTCTGGGCTTGAGATTCTCTCTCCCTCTCCCACTCAAGCTCTTCCTCTCTAAAAATAAATAAATCAACAACAACAACAACAACAAAACCCAATTTTTCCTTCCCGGCCTTTTCTATCTCAGTAAATGCTACCACATCCATTTAGGCCAGAGATCTGGAACTCACCATTGTCCTCCTCCGCCATGCCCACTCCAGTGGCAGATGCTGTGCACATCTATCTCGGCTCTGATGGTAGCTGCCATCTCTCAGGCTACCATCGTTTTGTGCCAGGACCGTCCAATATGGCGGATGCCCTGGGCTTCCACTCTGGCCCCCTGAAATCCTGTCCCCCCACCCCAGCAGTTAGAACAGCCTCATAAAGACGTCATTCCCTTGCTCAGAGCCTTTCAGTGGCTTCTGATTACACTGAAAATAAAATCCAAGCTCTTCTCCATGGTCTCTAAGGCCCTGCTTGCCATCTTTGACCTTGTCTTTATTGTGTTTAGGGCTTATGGTGTTTCCACCACATGGGGTCCATTTCCAGTTCCTGGAACGTTCCCAGCTCATTTCTCCATCAAGGCCTTAGTGCTCGCTATTCCCTCTCTTTGGGAGGCTCTTCTCCCAGCCTGGCCAGCTCTGGGTCATGTTTGGTCACCTCCTCACAAAAGCATCTCTGGCCTTAAATCTTAAATCTCTTATTTAAGTCGGGTCTTCTTCATCTCCTGTTCCTCCAACCCCACCTCCGCCCCCCCATATTCTTCAGCCCAGCACCTAATTTATGTCTTTCATGGTTCTTAGCACAGCTTTATTTCTGCCTGACTCTCCGTTACTACATGCCTAGCCCCTGATACGTAGCAGCCAATTACGCATAAATATTTGGATAAATTACTAAGCTAGTAAGCCAGCTGTCTTGTCTAGAAGAGGAAGAGCTTGTCTGACTGAGGGGTAAATTATTCTGTGCATTTGGGGAAGAGGATCGCTGGCGAGGGGAGACGTACAGTTCATCATTGGTTACGTGTGCCCGAGCAAGAGGGGGAGGAACGGCCTGAGAGAGAGAACCCAGGTGCCGAGAAGGGCGCTGGGGCTCCGCACGCTCTCTTTGACCCTCTTGTTTTGCCTGTTAGTTTCTTTGGCCCTGACAACAGAGAAAGAGCATAGCTGCCAAACCCCAAGCTCAGACTTCTCTTGCTGGTTCCCCGGGCAGCAGTCAGAGGCCAAGTTCAGGGTTGTGCTAACCTCCCGGTTTCCTTATTCCATTTGAAAAGCCTTATATGTTTATTCTATAATAAATGACTTATTAAATCCTAGGAGACAGGCCCTGGGGCTGCTTTCCTGGAATGGTAAATTCCAGTAGCTTATGAAAGCAAAGCAGCCTATTACTGTTGGCTCCAGCCCAGAAAGAGGGGGATGTGTGGTCAGGTGATTTTATTTCCTTTCATTTTTTTCTAGCTTATAAAAACCCCTCCCGTGAGCAGCTGCCTCACTTTCTTGTCTGCACAGACCCGGCAGCTCCCTGAGGCCTCGGTGTCCCCGAATTCGGGGAAAGCACCAATGACCTCACAGGGGCAACCCCAACCTTGGGGTCAGAAGGGCTGGCCTGAGACCCCAGGGGTTTAGTGTATTAGGCTGAGCTGGAGGAGACTGCGTGTTGCAGGGAGAGGGCACAGAGACCCACGATCCTCTTTCCTCTCAGGAAATCTGTCTGATGCTCTCTGCTTCCTCAGCTTTCCATGTTTTGATTCAAAATGGAGACGCGAAGATGAGAAAAAAAATTGGTTTCTTCATTCCCATACCCATCCAAGATTGGGACACAGTATAAATAGGTTGCTTTTCTCCAGTGAAGTCTTGATGAGTTAGTTCCTCTGTGCATGGTACCGTGGCAAGCCCAGCTCAGCAGGGCCCAGTCTCCGCCCTCTAGATGCTTCTAGGCTAACTGGGGAGATAACACAGAGCTCCAAAACAAAGGGATCTCCCTTAGTAATGACGTTTCCTTGCCCATGCCTGTGGTTAGGTCACGTATCCTCAGAGAGAGTACGTTTATTTTCGTGTTATTCTAAGCCACATGTTCCTGGGAAGACATCTGCCAGGCAACAGCATAAATTCTACAGCGATGCAGAAATTTGTTCTGGGGTGACCCACTCTTCCAGAGGATTCTGTCCTTTGAATCTCTCTTTCCTTACCACCACATAAGTGAGGACAGGCTCCAGATAACCTCCCCCTGCGGCGTCATAATTGAATCCCAGTGCCATGGAGGTCATATCCTTGATAGCCCGCGCCTCTGGGCTGGGCGGGCAGCAGGACAGCTGGGGGGCTGCGCTGTCCCCGACCCGGGGCCGGGGAGGTGCCCAGCACCTCTCAGGCCCTTCTCCACCCCCAGGTTGAAAGATCTGTTCTACCGCTCCAGCAACCTCCAGTACTTCAAGCGGCTCATTCAGATCCCTCAGCTGCCAGAGGTACGTGCGCCCGGCCCCGCCGTGGGAGCTACCAGGTCCTCAGTGCTCTCAGATCTCAGAGACAGGCAGGACTGGCGGGTGACACGGTTTGGGGGGGTGTCTTCCCTCCTCAGAACCCACCCAACTTCCTGCGGGCCTCTGCGCTGTCAGAACACATCAGCCCTGTTGTGGTCATCCCGGCAGAGGCCTCGTCCCCGGACAGTGAGCCCGTCTTGGAGAAGGATGACCTTGTGGACATGGATGCCTCCCAGCAGGTGAGGAGCACCTCCACTGGAACCCGAGGGTTAGGGTTAGGGTGACAGCAGGGGGCGAGTCCCATGTGCGGCCCTTCGCGCTGCCCCATATGGGCAGGGGAGAGGCTCTGACCAAGAAGACCCTTTGGCTGTCACCAAGCTGGACCGACTTCTAACCCAAGCGCTAAGCTAGACTGAGGCCCCTGCCCTGCGGTCTCTAGGAGGGACCACAGATGGACTTGAACCCGGTTAAGAAAGGATCCCCCCCCGCTTTTTTTTTTAACGTCTCACCCCCTCTGACTCCCGGACAGAAGTCTCTGGATCTCTAACTTTGTCCTCACTCCTTTTTGGTCACCACAGAATTTATTCGACAACAAGTTTGATGACATCTTTGGCAGCTCGTTCAGCAGCGACCCCTTCAATTTCAACAGTCAGAACGGCGTGAACAAGGATGAGAAGTGAGTCCAGACTGGGAGCAGGCAGGTGGTGCAGAAACTACGTGAAGCCGGGGTCTGGCCGGCCACCCCCAACCGGGGTGGGATGCTCAGTGACACTTGGGCCCCTCAGAGAAGTGACTCAACCCTCAAATATCGGCCCCTGGAATCCCAGAGGGGGATCAGATGAGGTTGAAATAACCCATGGGTGTTAGATTCGGATCCAGTGACGCGGAGGGTCTTAACATATAATGTATGGAATTTCAAAGAACTTTCCCAAATTAACACCAGCTTTTAACTTCCTCCCCTGCTCTCCCGGCTCGCATTTAGAAGGAAAGGGATGGAAGCACAGTGGAAGCAAACTTGTTCTCTTTCTGTTTCCAGGGATCACTTAATTGGTCAACTATACAGAGAAGTCAGTGAGCTGAAGGCACAGCTGGAGAACATGAAGACTGAGGTATGAGTCGGGCTCTGATCCAGTTCTGGGCTTCGCCGTGGCATGTTCCTATTAAATTTGCTTCGCAGAGCCACTTGTCGGACCACGTTTTAAGGAGGATGGCAGGGCGGGGCGGGGGGGGGCGCTCATTAGTAGAAACTCCAAAGCCAGAAGGCCCTGGTCCTTCCTTGGTCTTGGTGGTGCTGCATTTCTGTCATTCCTACCTTGAGAATGACTTCTGAGCCAAGCCCTGTCTCCCTTTGGTTCTTGGAGTTAACCATGACCGCTGGCTGGTTGTGAAGCCAATAATGAGGAAGACCTGTTCTCCCGTGGCGATTGGAAGGTCTGATTTGTAACTCTCATGGCTGTTTGCAGGGTCTGGGGCGGTAAATAGGACTGCCCCCCAGGCGCACGGCTGGTCGGGCTTCACTCCCGGGGGCAGGCAAACATCCCCTCCTCCCTCGTGCCTGCTCGTCCAGGACTGCTCCCAGGCCACTCCAACGAGACCAGAGTCCTCCATCAGGAGTCACGCCGTTGTTGGCCGGTGGCTTATAATGACCAAAAGCCTCAACTCTCATGAGGCCCTGGGTTGGGGGTGGTTGTTAGGCAAACATGGGTATTCATTGGATCGGTGCTGGAAACCCGGGAGGACCCGCTTTTCCTGCCCAGCCCAGCCCCACGGCCCAGCGCTGGGGCTCATTGGCTGAGCCCGTCCCACAGAGCCAGCGGGCCGTGCTGCAGCTGAAGGGCCGGGTCAGCGAGCTGGAGGCTGAGCTTGCGGAGCAGCGACATCTGCGGCAGCAGGCGGCTGATGACAGCGAGTTCCTCCGGGCCGAGCTGGACGAGCTCAAGAAGAAGCGCGAAGACACGGAGAAGGCCCAGCGGAGCCTGACCGAGATAGAAAGTGAGTCCGTTAGGCTGGGGCTGAAGGCAGGGCCCGCAGAGTCAGACGAGGCTCAGGGGGAATGATGGGGCTGGGTGGCAGAGCCCCAGCCATGCTTCTGTCCAGAAGAGCCACCAGGAAGGACCTTCGTGTCGCCAGTCCAAGGGGCGGGTGGGAGCCCAGCCAGTGGAGAGCCCCGCGGGCTCAGAATGCGGGGACAGGAACCAGGAGGTGACAGTGGGGTGTCTGCCTGGGGGACAGGGTGTCCGAAGGAGAGGTAGCCTAAAGCCAGAAACACCAGTGAAGCCAGTGCCACATGTATGCATGCCCAGGAGGCACGAATCAGTGCGGTGATCTGAATCTGGTGGATTCTTTTTCTAAAGACAACTGCCCAGAGGAGTTTATTTCAGTAGGATTTTTGAGGGCGAAGAAGGTGTTTGCATTTGTGAAAAGAAAGAAGGCTGTTCTAGGGATTCTGGCTTATGGGAGGAAGGCACAGGGTCCCAGCAGGGGTAGACTGCTCACCTTGGCTCTTGACAATACAGGGAGAGCCCAAGCCAATGAACAGCGGTACAGCAAGCTGAAGGAAAAGTACAGTGAGCTGGTGCAGAGCCACGCTGACCTGCTGCGGAAGGTAGGACCCTGCACCGTGCGCCGTCCCCACAACGCAGGGGACACCGCCGCTCCGTTGTCCCCACCAATTCTGAGTGCGTCACCATCATTTCATGGAAACCACGGCTTTTCAGGCTTGCTGGCCTTCCATGTCTTGACTTTTGATGTCAGCCCTGATTGGATTATCCCCCATCTTTATTATTCTTTTATTTTATTTATTCATTTATTTTGAGGGAGATATCGAGCGGGGTCGGGGGGGGAAGGGTCAGAGGGAGAGAGAGAATCCCAAGCAAGCTCCACGCCCAGCGCAGAGCCTGACGTAAGGCTCAATCTCATGACCCCGAGATCATGACCTGAGCCAAAATCAAGACTCGGACGCTTAACCGACTGAGCCACTCAGTTGCCCCTGTTCTTTTAAATTCTGGAGCGTCGAGTGTCTGAAGATGACATCTCTATTCTGGCTTCTCTCTGGGTAGAAGAGTGATTTCTGTGTCCAGCTGTCTGAATACTGTCAGTCGTTCTAGAAGGAGCTGTTGTCCCCGAGCTGTTAAGCCTGAGATAAGCCAGCTCAAGACACTGTTGTTCCCCTACAGAATGCAGAGGTGACCAAACAGGTGTCCGTGGCCAGGCAAGCCCAGGCGGATTTGGAACGAGAGAAAAAAGAGCTGGAGGACTCCTTCCAGCGAATAAGTGACCAGGCTCAGCGGAAGGTGAGGGGAAGGAAAAGTGCAGGGGGAATGAGGGAGGGGTTCTGCCTGAGCTGGAGGCGGGTGGAAAGACCTTGTCTTTTGCTGCAGCAGGCAGCCCTGTGGGTTAGAGCCCTGTGAGCACGCTACAAGAGGTGTGAGCACGGGACAGGGTGACCGACGCACAAGGGGTTAGAGGCATGGCGTGATAAAGGGGCTTCAGCTGAGTTAGGTGCATCAGCAAAGGCTTGCCAAGGGCGAGTCTGGGACGGTTGAGAGAAATAAAAGCACCCGGATATCAGAGAGAGACGTGAACATTTATGAGGACTTGTGGTCAGGAGAACACCCACAAGTTGGGGTGGGATTGGCAGGCAGGTCCTGTTGCAGTAAGACGTGTCAGATAGAGAAAATTGAATGCCTTACACTTAACAGTCATGCTTTTCTGTGACTCAGAGTAGGAAATATGGTCTATTTAATGGAAGTAAAAGTTTCACAAAGCAATATCCATCCTTACTCTGTGGATGCATTTGGATTTTTTTTGCTCTGTTTATTTCATTTTTTATTTTTTATTTTTTTAAAGATTTAATTTTACAGAGGTTGGGGGAGGGGCAAAGGGAGGGAGAGTGTTAAGCAAACTCCGCGCTGAGCACGGAACCCGATGCAGGGCTCGACCTCACAACCCTGAGATCACAACTTGGGCCGAAACCAAGAGTCGGATGCTCAACCAACTTGGCACCACCCAGGCGCCCCTGTTTATTTCGTTTTTTGTTTTTTTTTTTTTAATGTTAGCTGTGAATTCTGATGGGTTGCAACCTGCTCTTTGAAAAATAGCACTTATGAAAGGAATCAAAAAAAGAGAGTTGTTTCGAGATGGTTAGATTCAGCATCATACCAGGTGTTGGGATGTCTGAATTAAAGACCAGTTCTGCATCAGTTATACTTCAATTTAAAAAATAAAAAAAACACTTTCTATCTATAAGAAAAAAGATTTAGTTCTACTATTATCAGTACTATAAGCTGAAGCATGATATTTAGGAAATGTCCCTAAAATTCTCCCTTCGACTTCCCCGCTTAACCAGAAGAAAACTTTCTGGAACACTCTGGGCTATCACCTCCTCCCACCCACTTTTTGTTCGGTTCACCCAAACTTGCATACAAGAGAGTACACAAATCTCCCATTGATAACTTAGGGGCTTTTTTCCTTAAGATTTTATTTTTAAATCATCTCTACAGCCAACATGGGGCTGGAACTCGTGACCCCGAGATCAAGAGTTACATGCTGACTGAGCCAGCCAGGCGCCCCAGTAGCTTGGGGGTTTTTATATGTGTTTATCCCTTGCAACCATCAGAGTGCTCCTGTTTTTCTTCTCTTTCAGACTCAAGAACAGACGGAAGTACTAGAGAGCTTGAAGCAAGAACTTGCCACCAGCAAACAGGAACTCCAGATTGTCCAAGGCAGCCTGGAAACTTCTGCCCAGGTGAGCATCACCTCCCTTCCGCATTTTTCCCCCCTCTGGCTTTGGGACTCCTCTGTCACCCGGTGTCCAGCCCCACGCAGCAGCTGACCAAGCTGGTCCCATCCGTGCTCAGTGTGTGCCTGGGGGAATGAAGGTGGCGCCTCCTGTTCTGCGTGGCCTTCTGGTGGGTCTGGACTCAAGGGAAGTGGACCGTTTAAATCTCCCTCTTTAACCCGGCCGACATTGCAGTCAGAGGCAAAGTGGGCCGGCCAGATTGCTGAGCTAGAGAAGGAGCGGAGCAGCTTGGCGCATGCCGTGGCTCGTCGGGAGGAAGAACTATCCGCTCTTCAGGAACAGCTCGAACACGCCCAGCGGGAACTGTCCAGCGCAAAGGCAAGTAACGGATGCCCGCCTCATTAGCAGTAGCTTGAGTTAAGATGCCAGGACTCCCCCACTGTGTCAAGGTGGATGCTGCTCGAAGGCTCCTGATGGGGTCTGTGTCCGATCCTCACCTCCCTGGACCATTTCTAGGAATCAGTGTGCCAGCTCGCCAAAGACCAACGGAAAATGCTGCTGGCGGAGTCAAGGAAAGCTGCGGAGCAGGTGGTCCAGGAGGCCCTGCGGCAGCTCGAGGAGCCCACTCTGATCAGCTGTGCTGGCTCTGCAGGTACCCTCCCCCCTGCCTGCCCGCACGTGCGAATTCAGTGGTCAGTGGTGACGTTGAATCCCGTGTGACACTGAGCTCACGGGTCCTCCGCCTGCTGCAAGTCAGAGTCACCTGGCGATGCCCAGGCCCCACCCTAAGATCAGTTCAGCCGGAAGCTCTGTGGCCCAGAGCCCGGGCAGTAGAACTTTCTAAAGCGCCCAGGTGTGATAACACTGCTCAAGTCCAAGCACCAGGGGGAGGAGGAGCAGACGGCCCTGTGTGTCTCTGGACAGAAGAATGTGGCCTGAATGAAGAGATGGTTGCTTGGGAGCTTCAGGCCCACATGGAGGGCAGGAACACTGAGAATACCCGTGCAGTCCCAGGCATGAACAAGGCCCACTCTGCATGTTCCAGAGTCCTAAGGGCATGCGGGTGGGGCAGCGGTCGGAGCCAGAGAAGCCCTGTGGATGAGAGGAGGGGCCTTAGAGGTGGCAGAGCATCCAGGCCCAGGGCACTGGTGAAGTCCTGGGCGTAGCTACCAGAGGGCCCACTGAGGACAAGGCAGATAGCAGGAAATAACCGAGAGTTGACTTTGATTATCAAATAGTAATGTCTACGGGGCACCTGGGTGGTTCAATCGGTTGAGCGTCCGACTCTTGATTTCGGCTCAGGTCATGATCTCAGGGTCCTGAGATTGAACCCCATGTCAGGCTCCGTGCTCAGCGGGGAGTCTGCTTGAGGGTTTCTCTCTCCCCACTTCCTCTGCCCCTCCCCCTGCTTGCACACGTGCACACTCTCTCCCTCAAATAATCTTTGGGGGCAAAAAAAAAAAAAAGAAATGTCTCCGTTTGGTGACGTCTACAGCAAGGGCTGTTCTATCTTATTCAGCAGGGAACCCATCTGTAAGGAGCACACTGAGTTCCCAGTTTACTGAGGGAATGCCAGGAAGTGGGGCAGCCGTGGGCAGATTCTGAGGAGAGACTTTATGAGCTGGGCTTTGAAGGAAAAGGACAGACAGGAGCCACCGGAGGGGAAGAAGCGGGGGGTTAAATAACACAAACAGCTGATGTTACCAAGCGCGCGCCGTGTGCCAACCACCGTTCCAAGTGCTCCACACGCCTCGGGCCCAGTGAATCGTCACTATGGTGCCGTGAGGTGGTCCTGTTGCTCTGTTTTCACATGAGGAAGCAGGTGTGCCTGGCCTGCGATCGTAGCCACTGGTGATGGAGCCAGGAGCCACCCCTATGCAGTGACATGAGGCCCCCATACTTTAACTCCTATGTGACAATCTTCGCGGACCTGTGCCCAGAGGCACAGAGTGGGAATGGCTGTTTTGTGTTGTGTGCACAGCATGAGCACCGATTAGCCTGACAGAGCCAAGGGTTTGGGCTCAAGACTAATGAGAGTCCGAGGTCCCTGAAAGACGTAGCAGGAAGGCCTGGCTTTATTTGGGCAGGCAGTCCTAAGAAGGGAGAGGCTCACTCTCGGCTGCTGATGTGGTTGCCCTGGCTCTCGGCTAAGGGACCAGATGGGCCCAGAAGCACAGCTTTTGAGGCTGCAGTGAGAGGGTCCTGCACAAGCGCAGTGAATCCTCTTGCCTCCACCCTCTCATCTTAGGGCGGCTCCTGCAGGGCTGAGGCCACTCACGAGGTAGGCGCATCCGTCACGTGCCTTACCCTCAAGGGGAGCAAGCGAGTCTGACAACTCCGCCTCTGACTTTGCCCTGTCTCCCTCCACCACAGATCACCTTCTCTCCAAGGTCAAGTCTGTTTCCAGCTGCCTCGAGCAACTGGAAAAAAGCTGGAGCCGCTATCTGGCCCACCCAGAAGGTAAGAAAGGTAGAGGACAGGGTCTGTCCCTTAGTGACGGCTGGACCGAGTTCAGAAATGCTTGCGTATGGAAGTAGCAACGGGTTCCTCTGCACCAAGAAAGGGGTGTATATAACTTGCAAAGCAGGGAAGGAGGTAGGGCGGTAACCCTACCCCTCAACGGCCCTGAGCAACCCCCTTTAAACTCCTGGCAGATATCAGTGGGCTCCTCCACTCGGTCACCCTCCTTGCCCACTTGACCAGTGACACCATGGCTTACGTGAGCACCACCTGCCTTCGAGCCCCGCCGGAACCTGCCGACTGTGAGTACTGGGGCTGGGGGCCCGGGCTGGAAAGCAGGGAGAGCAGAGGGCCTTCAAAAGTCTTGGTTGTCCTGCATCTCCAGCGCTGACTGAGGCCTGCAAGCAGTTTGGCAAGGAAACCCTCCTCTACCTGGCTTTCCTGGAGGAGGAAGGAATGCGGGAGAATGATGGCACGGCCGTGAAGAGCTGCCTCAACAGGATCTCTGCCATTGCCGAGGTAGGAGCCGTGTTACTACAGGGGACAGTTATAGAGGTTCTTGGGGTGAGTGCTGGTGATCTGCCAGGGACTCAGTAATGTCCTAAGCCAGTTCTTTCTGCGCTTTCCATTTGACTCAAGAAAGTGAGAGTTGGCGCTGAAAAATCTGACCCTGAACGACTTTCCGGTTATATCTCATGCGTTGGCTGTGCATTGAGAACACACAGTTGTACTGTGTGTTCGTCACTGTGCTAAGCAGTATCAAAGAAGAATAAGCATAGTTTCCCTGTTTTCCGGGATTTGTATCTGGTTGAACAGGTTAACACCTAACATGGCGATAACAGCATATTTATTGATTTAATAAAGATGCAGTGAGTATGTTGTACATAGTGGGGAATGTATTAGATGTACAGGGACAAATAAGACATGGTCTCTATGGGGAAGGAAAATAAGGAAATCACCCATTTCTATACAGTAGGATGAGAGCGGTAATCAGCTCTATTTTAAGAGTTCAGTACAAGGCATTTACTTGATTCCAAAAATGGGTCATAATATTAAGTCCAGGGAATGAAGAGGTCAGGGCCAGAGTTCAGATTTTCGTCATCCCTCATCTGAACTCTTATAACAGCCTTCTGATTAGTTTTTCTGCCTCTGGCCTCTTTTTCCTCAAATCTCTTCCAAAAACAGAGATCTGATTGTGATTCCTCGGTTGATAACAAAAATCAAATTATGTAATGTGATACTCAAGGACTGTCACAGTCTGGCCCTTATTCACCTTCCTGGGTCCCTCCCACCCACCGCCTGCACCTCACAGTGTTGGTGGCTAGCGCTGCAGTGTACCTGCCTACCTGTCTCTTTCCCCTATGAGTCCTTACGGATAGAGCGCGTACTGTCTTCACGTCGTCCCCTTGGTCCCTGGCATGCCATCTGCCAGGTGGCTAACACCCAGCGAATGTTTATTTAATGGAATATACATATGGAGAAGGCAAAGCAGATAAAAAGATCAGATGGATAGGAAGGTTCATAGTGGGGAGAAGTGAGCAACAAGGTAGGGAATTGTGACTGTCTGGATGAAGGAAGGCTATGGATAATGGTGAATTGCTGGCCTTTCTTTCAATAGAATGACGTGATCCCAGTGGTATTTTAGTGTTATTAAATTGCTGATGGCAGCCTAGGCAGCCTTACCACAGTCTGCCTTTTGCTGGAGATAGAGCACCTTCTCCAGGGCCATGCAGAACTGCTTCTCAGTACACACATGTGTAGGACACCATTAGGTGAGGAAATAGGAATCAAATTAATTTTATTTTTTTTACAGATTTTATTTATTTATTTATTTGATAGAGAGAGACACAGCAAGAGAGGGAACACAAGCAGGGGGAGTGGGAGAGGGAGAAGCAGGCTCTCCGCCGAGCAGGGAGCCTGATGCGGGGCTCGATCCCAGGACCCTGGGATTGTGACCTGAGCTGAAGGCAGACTCTTAATGACTGAGCCACCCAGGCGCCCCAAGAATCAAATTAATTTTAAAAAGCAAAGTGTGAGATGAAGATCCTGGGCAGGTTTCCTTTCTGGCAGTAGGACTGACCAGATGTTTAGAACTCTTCCTAGGACAGGATGTGGAATATGCTAAATAAAATTTGGGGGAAAAAATGTTAATTGAATCTGAACTGGCAGAAAACTAAGGAAATTCTCAGAATCAGAAACCAAAAGGATGCAGGAGCCAGTGTTTGTTCATCTCTTGGCCTAGAGCTTGGATTTTAGTGGGCCACACATACAGGGGAGAGTAAGAAACAAAACCTAGGCCCAAGTGGGGTCAAAGTTTGGAATGCAGAGACTTCCTCCCCAAAACAGAACTTCAAAAGATCACACCCCAAGTGAACGGGGGAAAAGCCTACTCTACTGGAGAGATCTGGTCTCAACCTTGGTTGTAGTGGGGGGAAGGAGGCAACACGGCCGCCTAGGGAATTTCTAACTACAAGCCACCTATCTGTGGCTTCAGGGTCCGAATCTACTACCTCTGTGGCCTGAAAAAAAACCCAAACAGAAAATTAAAGTAATCAGGTCATTAGGGCCCCAGGTACCTGGCAGAGGCAGATCCAAATGGTCTCTGAAGAGGTATACTTTGACTCTAAACCCCAAGGAACTTTCACAGATAAAGTCCCAAGGCACACACATTCACCATAAATGTGTCCAATACGTTAAAGAACTTTTTAAAAGCTATTAAAAAGTGTGGCAAGGGAATAAGATACTTTCAAAAGTAACCAGATATATTTGAAAAACCACCACCAAACTTCTAGAAATGGAAAATATAATCATTGAAAGTCATAACTTAGTTTAGAGATCCAACAGCAAGTTAAAACAGAGCTGAAAAAAGAATTAGTGAACTGGATGATAGAACCGAGGGAATTACCATAGAACGTGGCACAGATTTTAGAAGCTGGAGTGTAGAAATTATATGTAGAATGTTTAATCAGGGTTCCAGGTGAAGATAATAGAAAAACTATGTCCTTTTCCCCCTAAGTAACATTTACAGACTTTCTTCTACACCGTGCTTTTTCCAGCATTCTGTATGTGAGGTTCATCCACGCAGATATGTTCACTTTCACTGCTCTGTAGTAGTCTGTCGTGTGACCGTAGCTCAAGTTATACACCTATTATGTATCTGTTTATATTTATTTGCATATCTGTTATATAGCTATATATCTATTGTTGATGGACGTTTGGGTTCTTTCAAGTTCGGGGCTGTCATGAATGTGCTACATGATCACTCTGGTACATATCTCCTGACGTAAGAGTTTCTCTAGGGTGTTTGCCTTGGGATAGAATTACCACATTATAGGACAATTCTCACACACGGACTGCTGAGTGAACAAGCAAGTCATAGGAAAATGCATACAGTAGGATTCCTTTTAAATAAAAATCAGGGGCACCTGGGTGGCTCAGTGGGTTAATTAGCATCCAACTCTTGGTTTCAGCTCAGGTCATGATCTCAGGGTCATGAGTTCGAGCCCCAAGTCAGGTTCCACACTCAGTGTGGAGTCTGCTTAAGACTCTCTATTAAATAAATAAAGCCTTTAAAAGAAATAAATAAAGATCAAAACATATGTACTTAACATTATCCTGTTTAAGGATGCCTTCATAGGGAGTTTTTAAAAAAAAAGTAAGCATTCTCCTGAATTCTGTGTTTATCTTGAGGTGGGAAGCAGGGAGGGTGGAGATGGAATTAGGGCAGAATACAAAGGAGATTTCAAAGGTACTGAAAAGGTTTCTTAGGCTAGTCCTCAAGTTGGGTGGTAGATACGTGGGCCATTGTTCTTATTCTTTAAACCATTCATATCTGTTTTGTACTCTCATAGGTATAACACATAATATTTTCACAATTCACAGGCTTTGCCATCAGCTCCAAGGTCAAATCCCTGTTCTCTGCCATTCATTAGCAGTGTGACTGGGGTCAAGACATTTGACCTCTCGGAGCCTTGGCTTCCCATGTGTAGAACAGGATTAGTAACTGCCTCATATGATTGCTGTGGATGCAAAGTCCAATAAGAGGCAGAGTGTCTGGTTGGAAGGCATAACCGATATTTGAAGATGTTTTTAAAATACCTCCCAACTGGCGCCTGGCTGGTAGTCGGTGGAGCGTCCGACTCTTGGTTTCGGCTCAGGTCATGATCTCAGGGTCATGAGATCAAGCCCCACATCAGGCTCGTGTCCAGCCGTGGAGTCTGCTTGAGATGCTCTCTCCCTCTCCCCCTGCCCCTCCCACTCTTGCTCTTTGTCTCTCTCAAATAAATAAATGAATCTTAAAATAAAATACCTCCCAAGCCACAAATACAATGTACCATGCAACTGTGAGGTCAGGGTCCAAGCAGCTGCAACTGAATGGCATTGTGGGCTTAGGCAGGGATGGCTTTCTAGAAGGAGGGGGGTGGAGTGTGAGGTTCTGGGGTTCCCGCAGTAGCGAGTTCCAGACGAGGCCTGCACAGGAGGCCCCTCCGTGGGTTCCAGAAGTGTGTTACGTGGCAGGGCCCTTCTCCCTTGCTTTCTGCCACGGGAGAACAGAGAGGAGGAGGAGGTCAAAGGGTCATTGCAGCCTTTGTGATGCTGTTCCCAGGAGCTCCTGCCCAGAGGCCTGGACATCAAACAGGAGGAACTGGGGGACCTGGTGGACAAGGAGATGGCTGCCACGTCAGCTGCCATCAAAACTGCTACAGCCAGAATCGAGGTATGGAAGCATCTGGCACGTCTCCTAAAGCGAGGCTCTTGCAGCTTCCCCATGGTGACATTGCCCATTGGATGTCTCTGAATTGTTCATGAAGGCTACCGAGGCCCCTTCTGAGCCCAGCCAAAACCCAAACTCCCCAGGATCCCTGAGGGATAGAAAATGAGTAGCCCCTCACCTACTTTGGTGTCAGTTCATCCTGCGTCATACTTCCAGGCTGACCACTTGCTAGTCGTGTCCCTTGGAATAGGTTGTTCCCCGAACCTCACTAAGGTCCCGTTTCTGCATGATGGGGCAGTGGTGATAGTACCTGCCTCGGAGGGGTGTTGTAAGAGTTAAAGGAGATAATGCACATTTTTCTTAGCGGCAGGCACCCGTGAAACCAGCAGACATGATTGTCCCAGGGAAAAGCTGAGTGGGCAGCATTGGAAAGGTCCCATAGCACTCCTTTGGTGGAAGACTCAGGCTGCCTGCCTTGGGGCGAGTACCTGCTGCTGGGACCTGGGAGCTGCTGCCCCCCATTGGCAGGGTGCCATAGCTCCCAGAATTCTGTGCACACGTCAGCCTGGGGTGGACACTCACAGACGGTAGAGCCAGCCAGCTGGGGCCGCTTCCCACTGAAGAGATCGGAAGTCTTGATTCTTTTCCCGACTCACCAGGACATGGATGGGCCCTTCTGGATTTGCGTTTCTCAGCTGCCATAGGATGTTGGACACAAGGTGTCTCGGGATGCCAGTGAGCGCTCAGTACCCACCATGTATTGAGAAACCCTGCTTCTTTTTAACAGGAGATGCTCAGCAAATCCCGAGCTGGAGACACAGGAGTCCAGTTGGAGGTGAACGAAAGGTCAGTCCGAGCCATGTGGGGCCACCTAAAGGTGATCAGATGAGTTTCTCCTGCAGTGGATTATACTAATTAGAACAGTAGCAGTCATGGGCAACGACTGAGTCTGTGTGTAGTTGTCGACAGTGGTGTTCTTGATGATAATATTGCAGTTGCATTTTAGGGGAAGAGAAACCCCGAGAATCATCACATAACTGTCCCCAGTCAAGTCTCACTACTCACGTGCCTTTCCATGAAGGTGTATTCCCCCCCACCTTTCCTATCCCAAGTTTGCCTGTATTTAGGCCTGAAAAAGAGAACAGACTCCTTCATTGTTCTTGATCTCTCTTCTGTGTCCCTAACTTTTTTTTTTTTTTCCTCCTAGGATCCTTGGTTCCTGTACAAGCCTAATGCAAGCAATTCAGGTCCTGATCGTGGCCTCGAAGGACCTCCAGAGAGAGATAGTGGAGAGTGGCCGGGTAAGCGTGGGTGAGGACCCCTGGACAGGTCGTTCACAGACTCCCAGTTCACCGAGAGGCTATGTTTGCTCAATACGCTCGTCCATGTTCAGCAAAATCCACGGATGCTGCCATCTCGTCCCGGGTGTGCATCTGAGGATGCAGCTGCTTCTCATGGCCTAGCACAGATGCCCGTGGGAAGAAGCTGGGGTGCTCCCAGGTCCCCAGAGGGCAGTCAGCCTCAGCCTCCAGCTGCAGGGTCATTAACCCAGGCAACATCATTGGAACCTGCTCTGGAAACCCCGTGTGCATTGCAAGCCTGGGCCCTCAGAGGAGGAAGGGAGAGCTTTTGAAAACTGGGCAAATCAGAAGGGCTGGCCTGGTTGCTGACCTTTCCTAGAGAGTGCGGCCATGTCTCCTTCCCGTGGCAGAGTCAGCTGATGGTTATTCACAGACAGTGAATATGTGTTCACTGGGCTTTCTCCCTCCTCTGCTGGCGTGTTTCCTTCTCACACCCTGTGTGCAGCTGTAGCTTAGGGGACAGAGGCCCAGGGAGGGATTCCGGACCTGAGCACTATCCTTCAAAGAAGGCAGCCATATCTGCTTTAGTGGTGGTGCTTTTTATCAGTCCAAGAGGGGGTGTTTTCTATCCCCAAAATAGAGAGAGAGACCGAGCAAGGAGCACCTGTGGCTTCCAAGACTATCAGACACTTCCAAAGCATGAAAGCGTTTTAAAACTCCAAGGAGAAATAATTTGCTTCAATTATTCACTGAGTACTCTTCTCTTTCGGCAAATCGTGGCAAGCGGTTAGACTCCTCTCGGATCACGTTGTTCCTACGTGCACGTGAATAGATAGAGATTCTTATATATACAACATGGAAATGTGATATAAGAGAAATGCTATGGGCTTTGGAGTCAGAAACGCCTAGGATTTACTTCCACTTATCTCCTGCATGAACCGGGGAAGAGTATCTTTGCTTTAAAAAAAAAAAAAAAAAGAGTATCTTTGCTTTTCTGAGTCTTTGTTTGCTCATCTGTAAAATGGGGTGATAATGCTTACGTCTTGGGGTTAGTGTGAGGTCCGTGTGGGGTAATAGACATAAAAGCAACTGGGGCATAGGAGGCCCTCGAGAAAAAGCTAGTCGTTACTACCTTTCACTTCCTCAGGGCACAGCATCGCCTAAAGAGTTTTATGCCAAGAATTCTCGATGGACGGAAGGACTCATCTCGGCCTCCAAAGCCGTGGGCTGGGGAGCCACTGTCATGGTGTAAGTGTCACTTCCAGGGCTCCTCAGCCCCACCCCCAGTTCCATTGACCCTTCCCGGACAACAGCCGAGGGCAAACAGTCTGCCCCTTGGAAATGAACTGTTGGTAGGGAAGTCAACAGGACTGAAAGTTGAAAAGGGAGCCTGGATCTCCTGGGGCTGCACAGGGCCGGGCCGGGCCGGCTGTGCTCTCTGGAGGCGGGATCATAAGGGGTTGAGCTGTCCGTGACATAATTTGTCTTGTCCCTTTCTGACTACCAGGGATGCAGCCGATCTGGTGGTGCAAGGCAGAGGGAAATTTGAGGAACTGATGGTGTGTTCGCACGAAATCGCTGCTAGCACAGCCCAGCTTGTGGCTGCCTCTAAGGTAGGACCTGCACCAGACTCCCCAGGGCGCTGTAAGGTCCGCCGAGGCTGGAGACTACTGGGACCGTGGAGCCTGCCCCAAGAACAGATGATTTATCCAGGGTCCAGGTAGATGAGGTCCCAAGTTAAAATTCTGCCTCTCAGGGGTCCCCTCCTCCCCTCCTCTGAGAGCCTTTCCTCCGCCCAGCTCACCACACGGGCTCTCCTCTCCGCTCTCAGCGCTTTTGTGACAAGTGGCCTTTGAGGGTCCCAGCCATGCCGACCTCTGATTAGCAATCTGGGTATTCAAGGAGCACTCAAATAAGGAATATGTTGGCGCCGTGAGCTGGTTCCCTGGCTCGGCTCTGAGGTTCCTGAAGAGTCTCCAAATTTGAACCATTGCCCCCAACTAATCGTAATACAAAGCTTGTTACCAAAATCTGTCTGTGAGTTTTATAGTACTCTGGGGAGCATCCTTATCATCCTTATTTATTGTTGTCCCAAATTAGTTTCTGCAACTAGAACAGTTTATCACAAGAACTGATAAAGCTAGAGTCTGAGGCTACCAAGCAAATAAGCCAGGAGTGATTTTTCATATTAGAGATATGCCAGGAGTTGACCCTATAAGAGCATTTTTTAAAGACTTATTGGGGGGCGCCTGGGTGGCTCAGCCAGTTAAGCACCTGCCTTCGGCTCAGCTCATGAGCCCAGGATCCTGGGATCGAGCCCCACATCGGGCTCTCTGCTCCGTGGGGAGTCTGCTTCTCCCTCTGCCTGCCACTCCCCCTGCTTGTGCTTTTGTCTCTCTCTCTCTCTCTCTGACAAATAAAATCTTTTTTAAAAAATTTTATGTATTTATTTGAGAGAGAGAGAGAGAGAGAGAGAGAGCGCATGCGCACATGCCCAAGTGGGAAACAGGCAGAGGGACAGGGAGAGAGAGAATCTTCAGCAGACTGCCCGCTGAGCACAGAGCCCAGCATGGGGCTCGATCTCACAATCCTGAGATCATGCCCTGAGCCAAAAGCAAGAGTCCGACACTCAACCGACGGAGCTGCAACAAGTGCCCCTTATAGGAAGCAATTTGTAAGAAGTCGACTAGTGACCACAGCGGATCCCGTATGTTTGTTAGGAACCATCGGACCAACTTCTTTGACTCTGTCCTTGCCGCCGTATGCTGTGTGAACCTAACTCTGCTTGGTCCTGGCAGGTGAAAGCTGATAAGGACAGCCAAAACCTGGCCCAGCTGCAGCAGGCCTCCCGGGGGGTGAACCAGGCCACCGCCACCGTTGTGGCCTCCACCATTTCGGGCAAATCCCAGATTGAGGAGACAGGTAGCCTCCCCGAAGCACTGCTTTTCATATCCATCCTGTTCAGCTAGTCTCTATGTCCCCAGTTTCCCACAATTCCATTTCCCCATTCTCTCTTGTTCATCTTTTCCACGTGCGTACTTACTTTCTCCTAAGGGGGGACACCGCGTACGTGTGCTGTTTCTGTCACCATAGCAACCGGCCTTAAGGTCGATTTTTCATGTAGCGATTGCTCTGGATTCAAAGACAGGACTCTCCAGGCCTGGTTGTCTCTGGGCTGGGGGCGGGGGGGGGGGGGGGGGGGGGGGGGGGGGGGGGGGGGGGGGGGCAGGGGGTCGGGCGTGGGTGGGGCGGCGTGCCCAATCCTCGTTACCCTGTCAGGGCACTTCCTTCCCATCTATACATCAGTGACTTTCACACGTGTTTTGGGAACTAGCAGAGCGAGCATTTCAGCAGAGTGCTGGTACCGGCTACCTCTCAGGCGAGAGAGTCGGCCAGGGGTGTCACCTGACAAGACCTTCCCTCCGCCCTTGCAGACAATATGGACTTCTCCAGCATGACACTGACCCAGATCAAACGCCAGGAGATGGATTCCCAGGTAGGATCCCCGCTTCCGAGTCTGCTCCATCGGTTGCCGGTGACATCAATCCCAAGTATCATCCCCATGGAGAGAAGCCAGTAGGGGAGAGACTTGGGGAGGAAACAAACACAGATGGACCCGGTAGCCCAGGAATGAATGTAAATGACACTGGAAGGGACAGTGGAGGTGGAGACAGTTGATGGGTTAAGTTCAGAATCTTAACTGTGGCTCACTGGTCTCGGACTGGTGTTCCCCTCACTGTTACCATCAGGGATCTCCTAGCAGACATCAACTAGTATTTAATGTCTTACGATGGATGATTTTTTTTTTAAGTAGAGTTGACACACAATGTTACATTACTTTCAGGCATACATGTAGTGGTTTGACAATTCTGTATATCACTCGGTGCTCGCCACGTTGAGTATAGTCACCGTCTGTCACCATGCCACGTCCTAACAATATTGTTGACTATATTCCCGATGTTGTACTTTTCATCCCCATGACTTACTCATCTGGGAATGTACCTCTTCATCCCCTTCACCTGTTTTACGCATTCTGCCACCCCCTCCCCCTCTGGCCACCCCCAGTTCTCTGTATTTATGAGTCTGTTTCTGTTTGGTTTTGGGTTCTGGCAATTTTTTGAAATATTCTGCTATGAATTCTTGGTTTAAAAAAGAAAAATCGATTCACTGAGAACCCATCAAAGGCAATGCCTTTTCTCCCAGTCCGTAAAGTTATGGCATGTGGAGAAACAGGAATCAGTGGGATCCCGAAAAAAGATCTGACATCCTTGTTCTAGAATTCCTGGTCCCAGTCTTGGGGTAAAGTCCAGATTGAGAATGTGAAAGTCTCTCTGTGGGTCACTTGGCATTTTTAGGAAAAATCACATCAGGTGCGAGTCCCCGCCATCTACACTGTCTTGCTTACTGGGCTCATCCAGTCCCTCTTGAGTGCAGATTCCATCTATATGCTGATAAGTACCAGATTCTTCTCCCTGGCCTCTATCTTCTCCTTGAGCTCTGTGCTTGTCCAGCTGCCTACTTGATCTCTCCACTTGATGCCAAATACGTCTCCAACTTAATGGGTCCAAACCAGGGCTCCCGATTTCCCTCCCACCCGCATCTGCCCTTCTCCTTGTTTTCTCCGCCTCAGTAACTGGAACCCCACACACCCGGGTGCTAAGACTTTGGAGTCATCCTTGGGTCCTCCCTTCCCGCTCTCCCTTCTACATCCAGTCCCCCAGCGGGTCTTGTCAACTCCAACTCTCCAAGCCTGAACCTTCCCCCTCTTTTCCATCTTCCTAACCCCGCCTGAGCTACCGCCATTGCTCTCCTGAACTACTGCAAAGGCAGCTTAACTGCAATGCATGCGAGGACTTGTTTCCAAGCGGTCCCATGGTGGGGCCAGGTGGCGGGGCAGTTGGGGGCAGAGAATAGGAAAGAACATTGCTGAGACAGGTCCAGCCCTGGGTTGACAGTCGGTGGAACTCGGTGAAAGGTCCATGATGGGGTTCGCCAGATCCTCTCCATCTTTCCGTATGGTTTTACGTTTTCCACAACAAAAGATTTGAAAAGAAAAAAAAAAGGAACCGCCTAACCACTCTCGCCCCACCCCGTAGAGTTTGTTCAGGTTCTACAGACTTTTAAATGCATAAATGACAGCACGTCACATCTCTGCTTGAAATCTTTGAGTGGCTTCCCTGAAATTTCACACTTAAGAGTTAATATCAAAACTCCTACCCCCCAACCCTGGGGCCCTGGATGAAATGATCCTGGCCTGTTTCTCCATTCTCCTCTCGTGACCCTCTCCCCGTCTCATGCGTTGGCCACATGGGGCTCCTTTCTGGTCTTCTGATACCTCAAGCTCCCGCCTGCCTGAGTAGCGTTTGCTGGTCACCCTTGGCCTTTATCACATGACCCTGTGTCATTTTCATTACGTTCTGATCTGTTCTCGTTCGTGAGTTTGTGTTTTCCCCCCTGCAAAGTAAGCAGGGACTTTGTCTGTGCACCACCGTGTCTCCGGCACCTTCCGCAGAGCCCGGGGTACATGATGGGTGCTCAGCAAACATTTCTTGAATTAATACAATAATAACTAGTATTAGTACTAGTAAAATAACTAGAATTAATGAGGAGTAGGGGTAACCAGGAACCAGCCTTTTTCTTGGTAAGATTGTGCTTTTTCCTGTATGATGATAACCCTAAGTCGTACCAGCCCCTCAGAGATAGAAGAACCATCTGAGCTGACTCTTGCCCGGATTTCCAGGAAAGCAGGATTGAAGCAGAAGGGGAACTGGGCTCATCCAGTCCCTCTTGAGTGCAGATTCCATCTATACGCTGGATTGGAACACACCACACAGATAGGCTAGATGTCAGAGTTGCTTTCAGGTAGAGATTTCAGAGGAGCATGAGAGGAGCCCTATACCCACAGGGGCTGTAAAGCATCACCTCCAGGAGAGGGTCCCAGTGAGGAAACGGAAGAGCCACTGGGATAGACGGGTAAGCAGGAGAGGACAGAGGAAATCAGCAGAACAGGAGAGGGATTAAGTCAAAGTGAGACCATTGTCAGATCGCCGCTCAAAAGAAAATTCCACTCTTCCCACAGGTCAGGGTGCTGGAGCTGGAGAATGACCTGCAGAAGGAGCGTCAAAAACTGGGAGAACTTCGAAAAAAGCACTACGAGCTCGCTGGTGTTGCCGAGGGCTGGGAAGAAGGTGGGCCTCTCTGAGGGCCAGCGCGGGCGCCATGAGGGAAGGGTGCGTGGAGGGCCTTCCCCTCAGACATGACAGAATGAGGCACCCTTCGGGTCGCTGACTTCCGCCTTCTCAACTCACAGAGCGTGTTTCCTCTTCAGTTGTAACTAATGTTCAAGCCCCAAAACTGGCAAAATTTGGGGTGAATTGAAAGCTTTTGTTGTCACCTCTCAAACCTTAATGTTGACCAGTGGGCTCATCACTCCCTCGCCGCCATTCCCCTTCCAGGCCCAGTTAGCCTGGCGTGCATAGAGTTGAGTAGTGAACGAATGGATGGCGGTTAGTGGATTCCAAGCCTCAGTGACCGACTAGAGTCAGCAGTGGGCAGCAATGGCCGCACAAGAGAAAGGGTCAGGGGCTAGAAATGGGGTACAGTGAGGGGATGATGGTGGGCCCACCAGCCCAGAGAGGCATTATCACCCAGAGTCTGCTGCTTTCCCACGTGCCCAAAGCGGCCAACTTGATCATGACCAGGACTGCAAACTCTCATTGTCTTGACTGACTCTGGGAGCCAACCACAGATGGATACCAGTCATTCCTGGGCACGTAACTCAGGGAATAGATGGTTATGAGCGTGAGGTATTGGAGAGCCCAACATGGTGGCCGTTTGGTTGGTGAAATGAATGCATGCACACGTACAGTGCTGGGAAGCAAAAATTATCATTGTCTTTCAGGAACCGAAGCGTCTCCACCTGCACTGCACGAAGCGGACACCGGAAAAGAATAGAGCCACGCCGACACCCCACATGTCCGAGTGTAAATCTTGTGGCCCATCTGTGTGTGTGTTATTCCCCAGCCACGGCCTAAGCCCCAGGGGAGTCCCAGTGGCAGCCACACCACTCCCGTTGTCCAGTGCCAGGGACCCCAGTCACTGCCTTCCACAGAGGAGGGGGGGACCAGGGCCACCCCTCGCGGAGAGGAACTCCCTCCCCATCCTGCCTGCCCTTGGACCCCCAGACGCTCGGCGGCCTTGTCCGAGGGTGTCGCTGTTTCCAAGAGCCCTGGTGAGAGGCCACCTCACGCCTTTTCTTCTCTGTTTTCTCCTCAGCCTTTTCTGTTTCACCATCTGCACCAACTCATGAGCATCAGAGGGCTGGCGGGGCCCCAAGCCAGGACGCCGCCCTAAATCTGTGCCAACAGAACAGCAGGAGCGTCCTGGCCGAGCACGCCAAGGCAACTCTCCCCTCTCTTGGCAGTTCCATGGATTTCCCACTGCTTCTTATGGTGGTTGGTTGGGTTTTTGGTTTTTTTTGTTTTTGTTTTTGTTTTCTTCTCTCAGCGTTCCCTCATAGAGCCACCTCTCCCAAAGGGAGCACCCCTGGAGCTCTGAGCCATCGGGGGCCCCTAACCACAGCAGTTAACAGCAATGGTGCTGCTCAGGCTTCTCCTTGGTGCTCCACGCCAACCTCCATGCTGAGTGTCCCGCTGAGTGAGTCTGGGTCAGCCGAGGCCACTCCCCAGAGGCGGGCACCGCTGCTGGGCCCCACTCTCCTCCAAAGGCAGAAGCAGAGCGAGTGCCTTTCCTTCCTAAAGTGAGAGCCCAGCTGAAAGCCTCTGACCAGGGGTAAAGAATGCAGGAAAGGAGGGGTGCACACGACCCAGGTCTCAGGAGACCCCTTTCTTGGGAACTTCTGGTGACCAGGCTGAAAAACCTTATCATGTGCTTGAGTGTGCTGGGGAGAGTAGCCACCCTTCTTACCCCGGAATGAATTTTCTGTGCCACCTCCCTTCGGGCCCAGGTAGGACCCTGAGAGGGAGCGCGTGAGGGCTTTTCCAACTCCTCTCTCCAACTGGCTGCCTGGGCATCCTCTTGAACCTGAAGAAGATAATTCCATGTTCTACCTAAGGGACAGACCCAGAAGATCAGGCAAACTTGCTCCCGGCAGGAAAGAACCCTGTGCTTGGTTGGGTACCTTTAATATTTATTACTAACCTCTGTTTGGCAGCGGCGGCAGCCTCCAGAAAGACGCTTTGAGCAATCAGGTTTTGAGGTGTGGCGATGGCGGGGCCGCCTGGCTGCCCCAGGTCATGAGTCTTCAAGAATCAGACACCAGGCCAACATGCTTCCCAGTCTGTTACTGGCCTAGACCCCGAGGCGAGCAGGTTCCTCAGAGCACCTGGGTCGGGGAAACCGAGAAAGGGGGACCACTGGCTCTGAGCCTTCCAGCCCCACGTCCCGGGCCCTTGCTGCCCGGACAAGATAAGGACAGAGGGCGCATTAACAGCTTCCTAGAGGCGGGCAGCCTGACAGCACTTGTCCACCTCCAGACGGACAGACCCCAGCATTTAAGTGACCTTCCGATCTTGGACAAACAATATCTTCCTTCCTTATCTGTAGCAACTCCTAGGTAGAAGCCAACAAGCACTTCCCAGGACCTGTCCCACAGGAACACTGCTGAGTGTTGCTACGTGACAGGTGGCGAGGTTCCTGTTTGATCACTGTGAATCAACCGCCCTCCTCCCCCCCCCGCCCCGTGCATTTACTAAGTAGGGCACTCAAAAAACAGCCTCCCATTAGCTCAGATTCCAAGACTCAGACAGGCGATCTCCACATTGGGCTAAAGAGGGGTCAGCAGCAGAAGATGAGCGGTCTTTCGCTTAACGCTTCTTTGTGCTCAGCGTTTTTCCATCCGAGGCTCAGAAGGAGTGGTGTGTGGCGCCCCTGGCCCAGTTGTGCCAATTAAGCCAATCGGTGTGTTCTCAGAGTGGGTCAGCATTTCCACAGCGGACTAGTCCTCACTTCCAGAATCTCGGCCGAACTGTTGGGCTCCCAATTACCAGTGGTGAGAAAAATCTAGCATATTGGACCACATTGGGATTCTCTGAATAACGTTCCCTCTAAAAAGTAATTTTTGAAACCTTTGTGGACTTAGCCTGAGTAAGAAAACCGTGAAGAAAGTGATTAAACAGGAACGCAGGCTAATCCCGTGTCACACGAGAAGTATCCGTTGGAGGGAGCGTAATTATATTTGTCCTCACTCGCCTTAGGAGCTGGCCCATCCTGTAGCCGAAATCAAATTGTCCTACCTTGGCTTTTCTCAAATAAGCGTGTTTATACTTGGTGTGAAATACTTGATTCAAATGGGAATGACATCCTAAGGCTAAAAATGAACCTCATAGCCTTTTAAAGTAGTCAGTGAGCATCATGAGTGACTGAAGTCCCATGGTTAGTGTAATTGGGTCACAGCAAGGCAGAACAACAAAAGAATGGCTTAGGACTGGTGAGAACCGTATCCCTTATTTAATTTTGTAATACAGTTGCTCTAACATCTCTAGAGTAAGGGGGTATGTGTACATAATAAGGAAAAAAAAGTAGAAAAGACCTGCCTTTTGCGGGGTTCTTTTATATATCCGAGTCAGGAGTTTAAATTAGACTGTAATTTAGATTGTTGCCTAGTTCTGCCGCTCACAGCAGGATCCCTAGGGTCCCACTTGAATCTAAGTCCCTAATCCAGTGGCTGGAAGAACCAAACATTGTCCAGAATGTCCTTAACGTTGGAAGTGTTTGAGCTGCCAAGTCAACACCAGGGTTAACCAGGTACCACGGGGGTCACAATGCATGTCGTTCATCCTCAGATTGGTTTGCTTCGGCCTCTCGCCGAAGAGGAGCTGGTCCTGAGCTTGCACCTGGGAAATGCTCACTTCTCGGCCAGCTTCTTAGTCTGGAGGGGTCTCCCGGCTCCACTTACCCTGGTCTTTAGCCACCGGTCAAGTTCTTGCTACCTTCTACCACCTTTGCAAGTCTCTGGAAATCCTTCCTGCCAATGAAAGCCTTCGATCCTGGCATTGGCCTTTCAACCAGACCGGCTCTGGCCTGTCTCGGCCGTCCTCGGTCGCCCGGAGACCACGCTGTCTGTAGCCTAGACAGCCACCCCTGCGGGCCCACCAGCCTTCACCGCAGATGCCCCTCCGTCTCCCAGGGTCAGACCAAATGCAGGATCAGCAACCCACAGTGGTGGCACAGCCTCTCGCTCCCAGGAGCCAAAGCAACGGGAAATCATGGGTTAGATGCCATTGGGTCCGATTCTGAGAGTAGATCATTTCCAGACATGTCTTTCAGGTGACCCTCAACTACCTCAGTTTGAAGGCCCTAAATGAAGCTGATTACTACTCCTAGGGACAAACCGAGGGGGTTCTGATAAATCTTGCTGATAACTTATAACAAACTCTCACATTTAGGTTCGCAGGGATAGGTTGGGTTTGTTTTTCTTCTGTTTTTAACCTTCCCCCCGGCCCCAAGTTTTCCATTAGAATAGTTCCTAGAAATGAATTTCATTTTTCACCGAGTGCCTACCTTCCCAGGGCAGGTAGCGACAGGCTCTTATTCCCTTCCAACAATACTTTTATTATGGTATTAAGACCTTTCTTTGTATAATACATTGCATCTGTGTTTTCAATTTTTCAAATAAATATTTCAACCTGGCAATGGAGAACGGTGGTGCTAACTGACCATCCAACGTGGTTTTGGGGTCGGGGTTCCCGTGAAAAGCCGGCAGTTCTCTCCTGGGGTTCACCGAATCCCACCGAACCTCTGCACTTCTGGGAGGAAGTCTTAAAGATAGGAATACTTGTGAGGAATACAGCTGCTGGGGCGCCTGGGTGGCTCAGTTGGTTAAGCGACTGCCTTCATCTCAGGTCATGATCCCGGAGTCCCGGGATCGAGTCCCGCATCGGGCTCCCCGCTCAGCGGGGAGTCGGCTTCTCCCTTTGACCCTACCCCCTCTTGTGCTCGCTCGTGCTCTCTCTCTCTCTCAAATAAATAAATAAAATCTTTAAAAAAAAGAGAAAAAATACAGCTGCTATGGAGAACCTGGTTTGCACTCCTCAGTCACTTCCGTCCCCTGTACCCTCTCCTGTCCTTGGGAATGATCGAACAGAACATGCCAGAATGGTCAGTATTGTCGTTTACCTTGACGCCCAGGTCTGTGCCTAAAATCTGGCATCTCACGCTAGGGATACACCTTTTTCCACCCTCAAGATGCAAAAGGAACGTGTCACCTTAAAACTGGATGGGACAAGTGCTGCTCAGGGACAGAAGATGCCAGTCATAAGGGGATTCAGAGCAAGCTGGTCCGGCTACCAGAGGATCTGCAGGGGGAGCTGATGAATGGCTGGGACTGGTTGCACCGGAACTTCCCCGGCATTATCTGCAACCTCGCGCTGCTGGTGCGTGAAGCCCAGGGGACATCGGAGGGAGGGAGGGAGTTGGGGAAGGCCCAAGGATGATAGGTGGGAGAATTGCCCAAATGACTCATCAAGTAGGGAGAGAACTGCCCAGTGGGAAGATGATCTGGATAAACACAGAAATGGGGAATGCTTGCCCACAGCTGGGGCTTTCTGCTCCCTGCAGCAAGATGCAAGGGTGAGCCTGTTGCATCTGAAGAACCACTGATGAGCGAGTGGAGAGACCTTGGTCACAGCTCTCTCTCTTTTTGAAGATTTTATTTATTTGAGAGAGACAGCACAAACAGGGGGAAGGGCAGAGGCAGAGGAAGCAGACTCCTGGCTGAGCAGGGAGCTGGATGCAGGTCTCGAATCCAGGACCCTGAGACCGTAACCTGAGTTGAAGTCAGACACTTAACCGACTGAGCGCCCCAGGCACCCTGGTCACAGGTCTTTTACGGATAGCTCCAGGGCTCAAGTGTGAAGCTGAGGGGTCCAGAAAGCCAGGCAGAGGACTGCCTTGAGCTTTGAAGTGCCTTCCAGGGCCCGGGTCTGGCCTGGGCGAGCTGTGCCACCCAGGCAGGGCGACTCTCCCAGGTGTACCCCAGCCCTCAACTCCCCCACCTGCACATGGCCTTGACCAGATGCCCCAGGGGCTCTGGTACTCACACCCGAGGGGTCTTCCCAGCATCCTGTGGCCAGGCCCCAGTTCTAGAAAGGCAGCTTGGCTGGCTGGTCAACTGGCCAGCAGAGCATTGCAAGGATTTGTGAGATTAGGCCACTAGAATGATACGCATTGAGGGGCGGGAGTTAGGGTTTATACAGATGGACCAAATTTGCTTGGGGCGTAGGGGTGGCCCTGCCAAGGTAAAAAGGAACAAAGGGCTGGAATGGCCAAGGGGGAGGACAGCATAGCAGAAATCTAAGCTGAGGGCAAAGAGCTGAGGCGTGTTCTGTACTGTTGTCTCAAGTGAGTTCATCTTGTCCATCATCGTCCTGAGTCTCTAATGCACTCCTGAAGGTACAGTAGGTAGGCCTGTCAGCATTTTGGGGTGAATGAATGATTTTTTACACTGCATTCTTAGTTAT